TGCAGCAGTTATGCAGTTTGCTGTCATAGCGAGTCTTCTTTTCAAGGCAACAAAATAAAGAGCTTAAAACCTTGATTGCACAGCATCTTCGGGAGCAGCTACAGTTTTCTCAGCATCCCTCTTATTTTCCGGTTGTTGCTTTTCAGAGCTGTTGGATTCAGAGGCAGGATTGCTGCTCTTCTTCCAGGCTGGAATGCTGCTGCTACGTGGCCCAGAGTCCTCATCATCGGAGCTGGGTTTCAGGAATCCTGTGGACGGACGTGCTGGAGGAGGACGAGAACGCTCTGGAGCTGCACGGAGAGAGAAATTGTAAAGCCTGTTCATGTTAAGTCTGCTATGACAAGATTCTTGGCATATTAGAGTATGTTTACTGATTTGTGACGGACAGATTTGTGGCATTTGTTGTTGCTCGTTTTTAAAAATGACAGGAAAAAGAGTGCACACAAATAACCCGACATCAAAGACAACATCAAAATGCTATTATGTGACACGAACCCACCTTCACCATTGTCATCATCTTCTGAGGGTTTGAGGAAGCGGCCTTTTAGTGACCCAAGAGAGAGGGCGCGTTGATTCCAACTCTGCCCGGAAGATGATGATGACGATGCACTGGATATATCTTTTTCTCTATTTTTCACCCCATCTTCATCCCTATACCTATCCCTTTCTTTGTCTCTGTCTTTATCTCTGTCTCTATCTCTCCCTCCATCCCTCTCCCTCTCTCTTTCCCTGTATCTGTCTCTTTCCCTCTCTCTAAGCCATTCCTTCTCACTATACTTGTCTCCATCTCGCCTCCTCTCCTCCTCTCTTCCTCGATACCTTTCCCTCTCCCTCCCGTCGCCTCTTCCATCATGGTATCTCTCTCTGTCTCGGGGTGATGAGTCTCTTTCCATATTTTCATCTCTTCTCCTCCATCTTTCCTTGGTCTCTTCCCCTCCTTTCCTCCACCCGCCTCTCGCTGCACCGTCTCCTTCTCCTCTCCTCTCACCAAACACAGCTTTCTCAGCGTCAGCAAGTCTCTGCTGAAATTCTTCCATTGACTATAAAAGGAGAAGTAAAAGACAAATTAAACTCTTTCAACACTTTTTCAGGTTTTTGCAGCTCAGATCTTCAAAGCTGTCTTAACAATTTATCTGTGTTGCTTATTGGAGATCGAGTGGAAAACATACCAACAGCGTGTGCATGGTACATAAAACCAAGCCAATAAAAGACGATCTAACTGATGGCAATGGTCTGTAGGCTGCACATAGATTTGTTGTATCATTCAGAGCAGGTTACTACAACATATTTAAACTTTTTGTGATGTGCTTTCTGTGTAGTTTGCTTTAAAGATGCTTCTATGACAGTTCAAGAGGAGTCCACTCAGTTAGGCCAAACAAACAGACACTTTCTGGCTGCCTTACTAACCTGAAAGCCAGTTACTTTACTGGAAGTAACACAAATGAGCTGCACTGCTGTGGCTAGCTGAGTTCTGACAGAAGAAATAGAAAGCACACACACACACATATACACACACAATGTTCTGACAGTGACAGTCTCTATGCTGTCAACTGGATGCACAAACGCTGACACTGCTGAAAGTGACTTAACAAAGGACACTAGGCACTGTGTGTGATGTCAGACAGCAAAGAGATAGATTAATAATAGAACAAGGTATCTAGACACTCATTCCTCCCACAGTAGTGAGCGAGTTTGTGCGCGTGCGTGTGCATAAATCTTTGTCATCTAAGCACATTTACCTTGACAGGTGAGCCATTTTTACTCTCATTTGGGTAAGAGTAAACATGAATCAATATTTTTATGTCTAAACCTCAATGTTATGCAACATTTTTATCTTTTGAGGTGGCATTTTTGGCGCAACTGCATGTGCATGTGAATGTGGGAAGGCAGGCAGTGTTTGAACAAATTCTCACTCCGTATCTCTCGGCCACCACATCGTTGAAGCTGCGTCGTTCCCTCTCTGCCTGCTCCTTCATCCTCTGGTAGCTCTTCCTCAGCCAGCTCAGACCGCCATCATTCACTACTGGGCCTGAAGGCACAGACAGGAACAAAAAGAAAACATGAGCAGAGGAGTCTGCACAAAAACTTGTTTGTTTCATTTGTCCAATGTTGAACCTCAACTGATTCGGTCATATCCTCTACAATGTCATTTTCATGAAACTCTCACAATGTGATGTAATTTACCTACTAGATACCCAGAGGTTTTCAAACTGATACAAATGTAAGTGGGGTTAATTAGATGCCCCCTCACTAGTGAGCTTACTGCACACACCAGCAAGATCCCTCTTGATAAGGATTAAAACAAAGCTGATGAGTAAAACGTAATCAAAAGAGGAATATAAGGAAATTAAAGGAGGCTGCGAAGATAAGGCTGTCTAAAATATTCTTTGTTAAAGAAAAAATTTAATTAATACAGACACTTGACATCATCTGAAAATGTAGGTCACATCACCAGATTGACAAACTGCAAAAACTGCAAATTAAGAAGGTGGAGGAAGCGGAAAAAGCACATAAGTAAAAGCTGCTTTTTTTGTAAAAAGCTGAAAAGACATCAAATCTGAGAAAAAAAAAAAGAACTCGCAACAAGCTGAATCACATTCTGGTGAAAAAGAGAAAGGACACAGAGGAACATAAGAGAGGAGGAAGAGGGAGGGGAAACCAAGGTCAGGATTAAGGAGGTTGAGAACAGATAAGAGAAATCTAGATTTCAAATCCATGGGGAACACGTGTTCATGCAAAAAACAACAGTCGATACAACTTCCCAGAGTGATAAAACATGACACATGGGCTGATGGTGGTCAAGGTTAACTCTGCGCATTTCAATTCTTTCTGTTTCAGAACATGGCAATCTTTAATCACTATTGTTTCTGCTTTATAGAGTAAATGGGCAATACAGCTGAAGAGAAAAGAACAAAAAGTTGCTTTAAGACGAGCTCTATGACATGATTCTAAAGGTACTGCATACAAATATAACAAATTTAACCTGCCAGAGTTAGCGGTGACATCAGTGATGATGAAAGGGCAATATTGTGTAAGACAAGTGTGAAGAAACGTGGACAGCGAGTATGAGTGGCAGGCTGAGGAGCAAAGACGGTAATGATGACTGATATATTTGACAGCTAGAGGAATTATAAGAGTCTCTTGATATCTTTGTCACTGTGGCCTCCTCTATTAGGTTTTAAAAGATTATCCGCTGTATGAGTCAAAAAATACAATCCATTCCACTGCCATCAAAAACAGCCGATGTGCTCTCGTCCCTCCACTTCAAGCTGCATATCACCTTTTCCTTTTTTTTTTTTTGAACAAGACCAAGTGTGTCCAGTGTTAAAAATGCACATACACACCAGCATGCACCTCCCATAACCCCATAATTATAACGCAAGATGACGTGAACAGCGTTCCCATCTGGCACACAGTTTGAAGGGGAAAACAGTGTGTTTATGTGTGATGTTTGCCTCAGCATTTTTTTGCCTTGCTGTTAAAATAAAGCTTACAACGGCGAGGCCACGCCAGCTCCAGAGGGAACTGTATTTACGGTGTAGAGATAAGAGGCATATGCACACATACCTGCATTTGCTTGTCAGCTTAACACAGCTTACACACAGTCTCTCACACACACACACGCACACACACTCTTTCCCTCCCTAAATCCATAACTCAGAAGTTCTACCTTGCTCTATCTCTCCTCTCACTCCTCTGCCATATGCCCATGTTGACTTTTCTGCATACATAATTGTATTGAAGGCTGATGTTTGAAATTCAGTTCTCTTGTTTCCTGCACTTTCAACACAACAGCAAATTATTTAACTAACTTCCCAGTTCACATTTGAAATGACTGGGAACTTATTGTATCTTCCCTGTGACAGACCTAAATCTTATTTTAAGAAGGACTACAGCTGTCAGACATAATCACACAAATCTTTTTTAAAAGCAGATAGTTTTGAGTAGAAACATGTTGGCAGCAGGAATGAGAAGTCACCGTTTGTAATACCAGGAATTTTCCCGACACAGTATTCTTAAAAATCTATTAAAAAACATTCACATTGACACATGCACAGGAAGAACACAAGTAGTCGGGTAGGAAAAAAGAGAATGATGTTGGAGGAAAACGTGAAACGTTAGAGCTGATGTAACAGTATTTGACACATCTATATTGTACATTTATCTACAGAAGAAGATCTACGAAGAATGCAAACAACATTATACTTCTATTAGCATACAACATGAGATTGTTTTGTCTAGTGCTGCTTCCCAGCTTTCCCCTAAATCTCCATGAAAGCAACTAAATAGGCCCCATTTTTGAATATTTAATAAAGACGCACATTTTAAGTGCCTTGCTTTCTTTATAACCACCATTTTAAACACTAGAGGATTGGATAGTAATCCATGGATTGATCAAGTGTATTATTTACTTAAGCATGTTATTTTGGCTGGTTCATCGTAGTATAAAACCAAAAAGGCCAGTAAGAGAGAAGGAGAGCAGAGAAACAAGATCAGCAAAGTCAGAAAAGCAGAAAAAAGGTGGGGAGTATAAAGTGGTGTAAGTAAATATGGTAAGAATACAAGCACCATCTGAGCTGCACATCAGAGAAAAACGGCCACAGCACATTTTGAATAGCTGGAAATAGTTCTTTGTCTATATCCAAATCAAGTCTACTGATACTGACGTTACCTTTTTTGGATGCAGTACCAGCTATCTCCTCTGGGGGCAGACCAGTTCCTCCATCTTTCCAGTACGGGTTCAGCTCCAGTTTGTGCAAACCAGCCTGAGGGAATCACAAACACACATTTACACGACAGTTATTTCTGTTAATAACACAGCAGAGGCCCAGCTGCTAAAAAATCCATACAAAACACCCTGCAGATAACAATGTGAACACACCACAGTGCGCCGCTGTCCGAGAGGGGACACCCTCAGTTACCTTGGTAACTACACAGTTGGTAAAATAAGGAAACTGACTACCACAGTGTGTTTACATATTGTGGAGAACATGCACACACAAACACGACTGCACTTTATCTCCCTCTTACACAGACATAAGGACCATTTTGTGGTCACCCTCCCCAACCGAATAGTGGAGCAACACACACACACACACAAACACACACCTGTTCAATGGCCTGAGCCTTGGCTCTCTCTTCTTCTTTCAGCCGTTCTTTCTCAGCCCTTCTCTCAGTGGTGGACGTGGTTTTCATTGCAAGAAAGTCAAAAGTCATCCATTCGTCTCTCTGTGCAACAGAAACACAGTTGCAAATTTTTAAAAAATTGAGGAATTGTTGCATGGATTTATGGAGTATGTGCAGTTCAAAAGCAAACTCAGCGAATTAGTGTATAAATGGAAAGCTTGTTCATATATGTAGATACACTATTTCCTCTAGACATCTCTATTGTGAAAACAGCATTTTACTATTGTGTTGACTTGAGAGGATTTTTAAAAACACTAAAGCAAACCTGTCATTTTTTTTCTAACCACAGATGATTTGTTGTACTAAAAACGATAATAAAATAAAAAGGACTGTTTCGAATTTAGACTTCAAAGTGACACCAAACACTCTTCACATATTTATTCATGAAGTGAAGGACGGTACCTGGGTATTCTGGGCTGGGCTGAGGTTGCTCTCTGAAGGCTTGGATTCGTCAGAAACTTGCCAGGCTTTAGCAGTCTGTGTCTGAGGCTGAGCTTCAACCCACTCATCCCCTGAGTCCTGACACGGAGAGACAGTGAGGGAGATGAACAGTGAAGGAGAGAAAATCACAATGGAGAAATGAAACAGATTGACAGATTACCACATCAAAACAAAAGGATGGAAAGAGCTCTGAAGGTGCAATTCTTCAAACTCTACTTGTAAGTGTGCATATATTTCAGAGCTTTCCAAAAGTGCTGACTGACAACCATACTCATTTAAATCGAGCCGCCTTCTTTATTATATAGTGTTTGATTCTAATAAAGGAGTTTTGTAAAGCTATTTGTGATTTAATATACATCTACTTTTTACAACCACTAGTTCTACTTGTAAACCATGCTACCATGTTAAATAGAGAAACATGTCAGTCTGTCCCAACTTGCTCCATATGAATGCATTTGTGCTCAGCGAAGAGGTTGTGTCCCGCAGAGTATAGAGCACTGAGTGGCTTTTACAAATACCAGCAAAATAAGTGGCGCCAAAAGACGAAGCACTGCACTGATTGCACATACAAGGGACACGGTCATTAGATGGGCTACTTCAGAAAGCATCAGTGGCACCAATTTGATGAATTCATAATTTTGCCCTGCATTATTTACAGCAGAAGAAGCTGAGTTCATTCATAACAAAATCTAAGTAAAGTGATTCACATGTTTTGATATTTTTGCCATACGTTATTACATGAACCAGATACTACATGAGATTGAAATCATGCTCCCCTTAAAATAATTTGGATTGAATAAGTTACAATGTGCATTTAATACTACACATGAAACACCACTGTTATATGTCAATAAACACATCGAATGTTAATAATAATAAACAAGGTATAATGTTTCTTAATTACAAAGGTTCTGATCAGTCAGGAATAGACATGGTTTTAAATATTATTAGCTATTTACAGACTGTTTGCTAAAATAGACAAGAATACAAATTTTGATGTACAACAACTTGCTACATTTTTAAAGTCGGGTTGATAAACTCTGTAAAATATGTCATAATTAAGACCAGTGTGTACGATGAGACATTTTGGTCGGCTACAAAAAAATAACTTTCACTCCATCCTAAATCACTATTCAGTTTTAAAGAACTTGGGTCACTTTAAATGTGTCGACTGTTACTCATCCGTTAGACAGCATAGCAGAATATATTCACATTCTTCATGTGTTAACCTGGGACCTAGTGTAAAGGACCTACACAGCGGAAAATGACAAAATAATGAACCTCTGAACTGTCGCTGGAGCCATCTCCTGCTTCTGCCGTCTTCCTCTCTTTCTTGGCCTTCTTCTTTTTCTCCTTTTTCTTTTTGGATTTCTTCTCTTTCTTCTTTTTACTCTTTACAGAGCCATCCTGTTGGAAATTAAGTTTCAATACATTGAATTATTCTCATTAATTAATTATTATTTGTTTTTGATATGCAATATATTCATAGAATCATTTGTCAATTACACAAGATGTGCTGAAATAACCACTTTTTTTGGTCCACATGTCCAGACAGGAAAAGAGTGAATAGGGATGTGTTTCTAAAAAGCACGAGTCACTACATCAAAAGACATCATAGTTGTCAACATCGCCGCCATTATCATCAAGATCTTTCTTCTGTCTTCTTTCTTCTCTTGATAATTGCAGTATTATAAATTACACTGGCAGGATAATTGTAGAACTGCTAAACTCCTGCATCAGGCTGCTGACCAGCAACATAGTCACCACTGATTGGACAGTTAGCACATGTGAGTTGGTATGACGTCAATCTATCCATCAATGGCACTCTAACAATTAAACAGTGACTCACGTCACTGTCTAAATATACTCTGTGCTGATTTTGATTATGTGCATAACTTTAGGTTAAAAAAATAAGTCTCTTACTTCGTGCATCTGCTGCAACCTCTGGTTGACCTCAGGGAGCATCCAAGTGTCCTCCCCTCTCAGCCTCTTCAGCTCCTTCCTCCTCTCTTCCTTCTCATGCTGATGCTTGGCCTGAATGACAGGATAGAGGAAAGAAAATTAATAGAGCACTTCAAAGCATGAGTACATCAGCATTAGCATTTTCAGTCATGTCTATAAAATGCCACTGCAGTGAAATAACATTTTCAAGTGACTGTATGTGAACTTGTCTACAAACTCCGGCATTGTTCTCATTGTGGCATGAACAACACAATCTTTACATTGACATGATACTGCAGTGAAAATTATGATTTTCAAATATTCACATGCCTTTTCAGCATTACATATTTATGTTTGACACTGAAAATTGCGATTTATTTAAATGTCTTATATTGTGAGTCTTTTCAGCAAATTGAAAAGAAAATCTTACACATGCCCAGAATGTGTCTTTGCATTTTAACCTCAAACTACTGCAAAGATGGTACATATCACTATGACTGTATAATCCCTGTTTCTCACCTCTTTCTATTTCTGTGTCTGGAGCTCTACATGCAGCTGAGCTGCTGCTGTCCACACTCCCTTTAGGGAGGATGTACAGCATGGAGCAAAACAGTTGACACAGATGAGAATGTATTTGTGAGATCCTAACTTTCTGCTGCTTTTAAGTCTTTTCTGAATGATTTTTTGAAATGTAAATATCCCCAAAATCACATCACAGCAATTATTTGTAAAGGTCCCATATGGTTAAAATCCATTTTTAGTATTTTTTTTTGTGTTGTTTTGTGGTTGGTATAAACTTGAAGGTGAAAAGTAAAAACTGTCAACATGAAGATATTTGCAAACGTCAGAATTTGACCTAGGTGCTAGCACATATCTTGCTAACCAACAGTTATCAAGCTCAGACTTTGTATAGTCATGCTCCCTTAATTCCAACTGCACCCATGTGAGCCATTCAGAATGAGCAGCTGCCTTACAGTCCACCAGGTGTCTTTACGTTTCTGGCGCTGCTTCTGTTAATTCTAAAAAGTCTCAGCCACAAGCAAAGCACAGCAAATGTTCTGCTGTTGTCTGTAAGAGGGAACAGACTGAGGCAGTGTTTACATCTGTCTGCTTCTCTCCTGTTCCCAGTGCTCTCATAAACTGCTGTTTATTACAGCCGGTTCACAATAAAGATTTAATGGGCTGTGTGTAGGTCACTGTTTAATTACTCGCTATGTTGTCTGAAAACTGAAATTAAAAAATATGTAAATGAACACAGTTTTATGTGGAATTTGGCCGTATTAAAAGGAAGTTTACGTGAGCACAGAGAGGAGAAAAAGAGCAAAGAGATCTGATGTAAACACTGTTTCGGTCTTAAAGTTTTCACCAATCTCTGAATGTTCTCCAGCATTGAAATTTACATAGAGGTTTGACCTGTAAGCATAGAATCAAAGCTAATGGTCATGTTAGCCAAGCTGGCCACACAAAGCATTAATACTAAAGATCTTTCAAGCTTATAACAACCACAAAACACAAAAATGATTTCCACCATCAATTCATAAAAACGCAAATTCCTCCCCAGGCTGAACAGGATAAATCAGACCCAGCTACAGTCTTTGGTTTGGCTAGTTTACGCACAGGTGAGCTAAGCAGATAGTGTGTTTTCAAGCTATAATGCTCATCGACAGGAAGCATCTTCTGTCTGCTCTGTGTATCTGGCAGCAGTGTAAACAAAGCTGCACACCAGAAAGATAACGCACAATTGAAACACTGTGTACATATGTGATCACGAAAACGAGGCTGACCTAGTCTACAAACCAATGAATAGCTTCGATCGTGACATAAAACATCTGAAAACACAGCTGCAGGTCTGTTATCTGCCTCCCTCAGTGTTTATCCTGCCTGCAGTCCAGATACAGGCATTAGCAGGTTAATGTGAAGACATACTTGAGTTGTTAGCTTTCCCAGAGAGACAGAAAGAGACACAAAGACGCCTGTCTACATCATGATCACGGACATTTCATTAAAATGACAATGTTGTGCCGCTAAACCCATCCGTACTTAACGTTAACGTGACGGCTGCTGTTAGCCTACTTAGCTTGTTGGCTCTCATTCGAACCAAACAGGTGTGTTTTAAGCTTTAACTGACGTCGGTGAAACAAACCTACAGTCACGTATAGACTTGCTGTGTCCAAAGCTCACATTTCATACCTTTTCTATGACCTCTTGTCGTGCCTGCCGTTTTTTTTCCTTTCTTTCGTCGATGCTGCTTGAACTCTCAAAACTAACTCCGTACGTCGCCATGACACCGCCGTCAATGTGTTTGTTAAGTGTCGTAAAAGTGTCGCAGTTTACGTCAAGCGTTGATTTCTGGTTCTTGTAGTTCAAAAAGGCAGCAGTAAGAAAACTCAACTGTGCAATGTGATGGATGGGCGTGTTTAGACTATATAGCGCTACTTTACACCTTTTACCACTTTTAGAATTGCAATTTATACGTTTATACAGAATATATTTAAATACACTGGAATGTTCAACAATACTTGAATACTTGCTAGCATCAGTAGATGACACAGGCCTAACATATCATCTGTCTACAAATATGTAACAATGTCACTTGCACATGGGCAATTAATTTGAATATTGGCAGAACACAATTAGGTCTAGGCTGAAGGAAAATTTGAGCATCAGATTCAATTTTCTGCATTATGGTGACATTTAATGCACCAATTGCACCTTTTCTGCATAAGTTAATGTTAAAAATGTCTCTATTCAGATGAGGAAAACACAAAACACAGGGACCAAATAATAATTCAAATAAAATAGAATATATATGGCATATGAATATACAAATAAATATTTTGTAGGCTCACTGATATATACATATGTATACAGTGGTATGGATAGTATGGTATGACTGGTACCCTACTCTGCATTTTTAATGCTCCTATTGGTGCCCATAACAGAAAAAAAAAGAAACAACAGCCTCTTAGCGTAAAAAAAAAAAAAAAAAAAAAGGTTCAATTCTTGGTGGAATATTGCTGTAGACAGAAACACTGACATGCGAGACGATGGTGCTAACCACCAGTCTATCAAAACAGGGTTGTATCATTGAAGGCCATATGTACGTATCAATGAGCCTGCAAAATTTCAAGGAGTCCAGCTACATTATTTTTCAAGTTATGGCACTTCCAACATTGCTTCACAGATTAGGTCGAAGAAAACATCACAAAAAACAACATTACCCCACCCTTCTTTAAGATTTTTGTTAAGATTTAAAATTAATGTAACCTATGATCCCAGATTTTACACATAGTCAGCTTAAACAATGTTCACCACTTAAAAAAAAAATCTGTCAAATTGAACATGGTCAGATGTGGGATATTCAATGAATTAAGGCGGAGTGGCCCATGCTGATGCATTTGCATCTTGTTATGCAGGAAACGAGATGCACACCTACCAGAGCAAACAACCAGACACAAAAATAGTTTATTTCCAGAGGAAGTCACCAATGAACAATTAAATCCATCTATAACGACAGGAATAATTCTTTTTCTTTCTTTTTTTTTTTTTTTAATTCCTAATCCTGAATCACTTTATATATACTCTATACTATACACCTGTTCATATTTTTTTTCCAACATTTCTCTCTGCTCCATGGCACTGCTGCCCACCTACCTCATGTATGTACAGTGTCAGTAACCTTGTATTTATTGTTAAGAATTATATTTACATTTATACTTGTATCATCAGAATCTGCACAATTTGCATTGAATCTTTGGTTTACTTTAAGCATGCCCCTTTACACACACACACACACACACAGTATATAATTGCACATAGTAGTTGAACACCCATTTTCTTTTCTCTGAACTGCTGCCCTTCTTTAAATGCATGTGTGTGCTTGTGCAACTGCTTTGAGAGTAAAGAAAAGAACAAATTCAAATTACTTAAAAAAACATACTTGAGCTATCAAGCTGATTCTGGTTCTAAATTAGGTTTTAGTCCAGATGTTATCAAGAAAAAAGATTAGGATGTTGTGTGAGCATAATACACCTTTTTGTCAAGTCAGTAACTCAGCAGATATTCACACATTCGACTCAGAGGGTATTATAATGTGTAAAACACAAGATAACAGTATGTCCTCGAGTATGCATTCAAATAAAATCTAAAAAAAACAAAAAACCTTTGAATGGGAGAATCCTCAGAAGGAGCAGCAGAGAACAGTCCAGTCATCAAGACAAGCAAAAGATCAAAACACAACAGAAGAGGTAAAATAGTAAAACTATAGCATGTAATCTTCAGTCCATAGCAACAAGCATTAATGAGCATTAGCACAGGTGTTGGGTGATCAGCCCTCAGCTGGGGTTTTGTTTCACATTTAAGGTGTTGGGTGGTGCTGAGGTCAGGGTTTTTTGCAGGCCCGTCAAGTTCTTTCATACTAAACCCAAAAACACATTTTTATTGAGCTTGATTTGTGCATGCAGGCATTGTAATGTTGAAATTAAGGATCTCATCTTCTCCTGCCACATACTTGAAAACATCCTTTTGTGTAAAATGTAACTATAAGCTGTAGCATTAAGATTTCTCTACAGCTGGATCTAACAAAACTTCTGAAAAGCAGCTCCATGGAGACTAACAGTACACACAAGTTTGAAGGCAGGGATACCGTCATGCAGTTGTCCTCAAATGTATTCATACTCTTCCATTAAAGAAAAGGCAAAATTCACAATAGTCATCAAAATAACTAGAAACTGAAAAAAGTAATAATAAATAAAAATTTGCTAAATTATAATTTAGTGAAATAAGCCATTGTTTTTGAATTGTGGTTGAAAAGAATAATTTTTTAAAAAATTAATAATTCTGTCCTGGACAAATTAAAGCACTTTGCTGATGAGCAGTGGGCCAAAATCTAAATACCTGTCAACAAGTGCAGAAGTCTGATTGAGAGTGACAGAAAACACTTGATTACAGTGATTGGCTCAAAGGGTTGTTTAACAAAATATTAGTTTATGTTTCCCATCATGATTGTTTTTAAAAAATATATATTTCTGTTGAACCACAATTCAAAAGCAATGTCATGATTTTCATTACATTTTTATTTATTATTACTTTTGTCAATTTCAACTTATTTCAGTGACAGCTGTTTGTTTAATGGAAAGGTATGAATAAATTTGAGGACGACTGTATATACATTTAATTCTTCATTCGTGTCTCCCTGGAGTTATTTTCTTCTCCATGCTGTATAATCACACATATCACTAATCAATCAGGTAAGTAACTGTGTTTCAGTCTATGCCTCTTGAGTCCTGTGAGCTGGTTTAAAACGTCTTAAAGACAGCCAGATCAATACACTGCACCTGGGGGAGGTATAGCCTTAAATTTTAATAATCCCTCCAAATGTCAAGTGAGAATCCGCTGACAGACTCAACAACAATACTGGAATCTGTCTCACATGCGTACCCACTAACAGTCTGCTTCACCCTGATCAATAAGCCGCTGTCAATAAAAGCCACCAAACCATCCCCCCCGCCTCAGTGCCATGATGCGTTTGCCTCCGTGAGCCTCAGAGGATGGAGAAGCCACAGGGGTAATTCTACCAGGAGACGCGAACCAATTACCAACCTGCCACTGAGGGGCCACGACAAATAACCACGCTCCACTCCACCCACATCAATATCCCATTATCCTGCAATTCATTGTCTTTTAGCTGTCTGCTAAAACACATCCTGTAAATAATAACAGCGTAAGTGTGTGTGGAAGAAGATGGTGGTTATTAAGTCATAATTCAGTGTCACCACATTAAATCAATTTGCAAACTAACACTCAGGTTCGATTTTTTTTTTTATCTCTGTGCAAACACACGGCTTAGACAATGAAATCAGGGGGATTCCTCTGTCGGACACATTTTTAAAAAAGGAAGAGAAAATACACAAATCCCCAAGAACTTGAAACGCCACCCTTTAACTTGAAAAGGTCGAGCACACATTGGTTTTATACGTGGCTTAGTTACAGCTCGGTGATTTCAGAGCAGAGACTGAGCTCAAAGACAGGGCAAGAACCAAAGTAGTGAGATGATAAAAAAAATAAAAGAAAAAAAATACTGTAGGTGATCTTCCGTACAGACCACGCGACCACTGAAGAGTGTAAAGGTGTCACCGGATTACACAGAAGCAGCCAGAGTGGGCTTCTGGTTGCTTTATAACTGCTTGTCCTTCTAACCTGCAAACCTGTCAAAACATTAGATAGAATCAGTGTTTCGCTTTTTTTAAATCAACAGAAGACAATTCATTGCCAAGGCATTAAGCAAGAAGTACGCACAACACGCCAAGATTCTGTAAAATGTTTCAATTTATTTCATGGCACTTAACCCTATGTAGTCTCTGGACATTTTTGGCTCCTGTCACATTTTTACTCACTGTGGGTTTATTTTTTCACTGCAATGTAAAGTGCTGCACCTCTATTGAAACAGCAAAACCATGACTAGAAGGACCATAATGACATACATTCTAAAAAGAAAAAAGAAGTAAAACGTATTTTTTTAAATTTGGGAAACAAACAAAAAATCCCTTGAAATCAACATGTACAAATTATTTGCTCAGGTGTTATCATTACAAAAAGAAGGTGACTCATTAGATTTTTTACTTTTTACATTTGTAATTTAATTCCATTCCTGCATCTGATCTCCTCTGTGCAAACACGGCCTGTAGTTCAGCCTAGCTCAGCTGAAAAGTCCCAGAAGTTTTGCCAGGTGATTGTTGGTCATAGCACAGTTTTCAAGTTTTTACAGATTCTGATTTATTTTAGGCAGATTTTTGAATGAGGCATGTCGAAATATTTGATTTTGATGCATTATCCCAATTTCTAACTTTAACCTTTTAACTAATTTTCCTGATGTACATTTAAAAACATGTAAACCAGTACAGGATCCTTTACATTTAAAAAAAAAAATTAAACTGTCATTGTTCATAACAGAACTCTCCAAACATTCAACAGTAGCAAAATTACTCCAAACGATCCTTCTCTAATATAATGCACCAGTTCCCCTGGTCGTGGTAGCTGCTCTGCACTGTGACTCCAGCTACCTGACCACACAGCTGCTCCAGCTCCCCCTGCTGGAACACGTGGTAATAGCGGTGAAAGACGGGTGCTGACTTTACGGTAGAACTGGAGGTCTGAGTGGTGTCGCTGTTCGGACTGGGTTTCGAGTCTGAGATGTGAGTGGCATCGCTGGTGTCGAGTCTTGATTCAGAAGAAATGTTGGAGTCAAAACCTGGACCAGGGTCAGATTTGGGACTCAAACTAGAGGCTGAACAAGAGCTACTTGAAACCTTCTTAGACTTGTCCTTTCTTTTATCCTTCTTGCCACTGTCTCCTGATTCCTCGTCCTCTCGTTTCTTCCCCTCCTTTAGATGCCAGGGAACCAACAGGTCCTGGGTGTTAAAGGCTGTGCGGTTGGTGTGCACACTAAGCTTGCCATCAGACACTTTGCTAACATCTGACATGCTGCCATCTGGCCTGCAGCTATCTTCTAAATGGCTACTGACATGGATACTTGATTTCCCACGAGGTTCCTGACTGTCCTCTGAAGTGTTTTTAGTGGGGCTGTGATTGTTATGATTCTCTTTGTTGGTATCTTTGAGGTATTTGGACTTCTGCTTGTTGTATTCTTGTTCAAAAGCCCAAACGTAGATGAGCGCCCGACCTCCAGGCTTCAGAAGCCTCACCAGCTCCCTCACTGCTGCCAGTCGACGCTCCTGCAACGCACACACAAATGTTTAATGGCACATTTCAGTCAGGAACTAAAACTCCAACAGACTAAACTCAGGAACCAAACAGACCAAAAACTTGAAAAAAAAAAAACATTTCTATTGAAATTCAGGACGTGAAGGTTAGACAGATAGCACTAATGAAGACTGAAAGTGATGAATCGGTTTGATTTGTGGCAAGTTTTTCATGCAATCAGTCATGATAATGATTTGTGATGGTCGGGTTGGAGTCACTGTCAAAAAAGATGCTCCAGAGGTGGAAAAGGAATTTTAAAACAAGCAAAAGGCAAGATGTGAGTCTCAAAAGCAATGAAGATCCGTGTTCTCTTGGACCAGTAGGGGAGGTCAGTTACATCTGTGTTGAACCATCTGAACCCGAAAAAATATTGTGTCTTTTTAAAAATCCCCCAAAATACACGATTTATCAGAGCCAGAAATTGTATAAACAGAAAGAATTAGCAGACTTGCAACTTTACTGCTCTTTCAATAATCATCTCTGAAAGACATCATCTAATTCATCAAAATTACTCTAATCTACATTTCTCATTGAAAAACTTCTTGTTGCAACCATATGTCATAAGTGACTTAGCGGCAACCAATGAGACCAACCGCATTACAAAAATTCAGGGAGTTTCCAGCTGAACTGGGTTGAACTGCTGGTTGTGTTTAAACAGTGCATGAGGTACATGTTGAGTCCAGCTTTTTTCAAATTTTGTATAATGCATAATCAAAGAAATGCAACCTCTTCTTTATTTTTATGATTTATGGCATTATATTGCAGTGAGATACACTATATTGCCAAAAGTATTCGCTCACCTGACTTGACTCGCATATCGACTTAAGTGACATCCCATTATTAATCCATAGGGTTCAATATGACGTTGGTCCACCCTTTGCACCTAGAACAGCTTCAACTCTTCTGGGAAGGCTGTCCACAAGGTTTAGGAGTGTGTTTATGGGGATTTTTGACCATTCTTCCAGAAGCGTATTTGTGAGATCACACACTGATGTTAGACGAGAAGGCCTGGCTCTCAGTCTCTGCTCTAATTCATCCCAAAGATGTTCTATCAGGTTGAGGTCAGGACTCTCGGCAGACCAGTCAAGTTCTTCCACACCAGACTCTGCCATCCATGTCTTTATAGACCTTGCTTTGTGCACTGGTGCACCTTCATCCTGGAAGAGGAAGGGGCGATCTCCAAACTGTTCCCACAAAGTTGGAAGCATGGAATTGTCCAAAATCACTTGGCATGCTGAAGCATTCAGAGTTCCTTTCACTGGAACTAAGGGGCCAAGCCCAGTTCCTGAAAAACAACCCCACATCATAATCCCCCCTCCACCTAACTTTACACTTGGCACAATGCAGTCAGACAAGTACCGTTCTCCTGGCAACCGCCAAACCCAGACTCGTCCATCAGATTGCCAGAAGTGCGATTCATCACTCCAGAGAACACATCTCCACTGCTCTAGAGTCCAGTGGTGGCGTGCTTTACACCACTGCATCCGACGCTTTGCATTGCACTTGGTGATTAATGGTTTGGATGCAGCTGCTCGACCATGGAAACCCATTCCATGAAGCTCTCTACACACTGTTCTTGAGCTAATCTGAAGGCCACATGAAGCTTGGAGGTCTGTAGTGATTGACTCTGCAAAAAGTTGGCGACCTCTTCGCACTATGCGCTTCAGCATCCGCTGACCCTGCTCTGTCAGTTTACATGGCCTACCACTTCGTGGCTGAGTTGCTGTCGTTCCCAAACACTTCCATTTTCTTATAATACAGTTGTCAGTTGACTGTGGAATATTTAGGAGCGAGGAAATTTCACGACTGGACTTGTTGCACAGGTGGCGTCCTATCACAGTACCATGCTGGAATTCACTGAGCTCCTGAGAGCGACCCATTCTTTCACAAATGTTTGTAAAAACAGTCTGCATGCCTAGGTGCTTAAGTTTATACACCTGTGGCCACTGAAGTGATTGGAACACCTGATTCTGATAATTTGGATGGGTGAGTGAATACTTTTGGCAATATAGTGTATGAGCCCAAAGTAAGTAAAAAATGTGCCACCCACAAACTACTTGGGGTTTAGAGGCTTACATATCAAAAAAATTGCTAATTTTAAAAATTAAATATATGAAAAAAGTTTCCTTTCCTAACCTTTAACGCAGGGGTGTCAAACTGCGGTCCTCGAGGGCCGCAATCCTGCATGTTTTAGATGTTTCCCTCTTCCAACACACCTGATTCAAATGATCAGCTCATCATCAAGCTCTGCAGAAGTCTGATAACGATCCTGATCATTTGAATCAGGTGTGTTGGAAGAGGGAAACGTCTAAAACATGCAGGATTGCGGCCCTCGAGGACCGGATGTCGACACCCCTGCTTTAAGGTATCCACCAACTACTTATTAGTAAACTTGAATCCCTAACTGGTTGGAAAGTAGTTTCCTAAAACATTTTTTAGTGAAGAAAAAGAGGAGTTGAAGAGGACTTTAAATTCCTGAGTTCTCAAATGGTTTCAGAGATCCTTGAAAATTTCCTGCAGTCAAAAGCTGAACAATTTAGGCAATTCGAAGTGTGCGAAAAGTGTTATTGCGTGGATAAATCTTACTGAAAAATTTATATAATGCTTCCCAAAGAAATGGAGATGTCATCTGTTATTAATTGTGTGCACATGGACTGTACATACCTGTGTGGAAAAGTGGTGTATGACAGCTATAGAGATGCAGGCGTCACAGGACTCTGTTCGCAAAGGGACACTAAGAGCATCGGACACAAATGCGTGGAAACCCCTCTCTGCACAGATTTGGACAAGAGCACTGCTACGATCACATCCCACCTGGAATGAGACAAAACACAGAGACACAAAGGCATATAAAACCATACATAAACAGTATGATAGAGAGAAAACATGTTGATGATCACACAGAAAACAACAGAAACAGCCACTGATTATTCCTTAAACCAGTGTAAAAAATCAATAAATGACAAAAAAGTGGTAGAGAGACAGAATAACTACAGAGAATGAGAGAGAATATAAAAGAAATTATGGAGAAAAGCGGCAAAAGGAGAACGGTATAAAGCTGGAAAGGGATGTAAAAGGAAGAGAAAAACAGTGGGAGGAGCTACTGGATGGCAGTGATAATAATTTTAATCCCAAAAGAGACAGCGGTGATAATAGATGACAAGAAATACTACACACATGCACAACTAGACACACAGACTCAATCTGTTACTGACATGCAAACACACAGTCTTTTTTTCATTTCAATTACAACTGGGAATGGTAACGATGTTGAACAGCAGCAAGAGGCAATGAAAAGTAGAGCAGGATATAGAGGACAAAAAGAAGGAGGGATTGAAGACAGAAAAAGCAAATACAGAAAAAAAGAAAGTAGGGTTAAGAGAAAATTAGACAAAAGGAGGATAAAAGTCAGAAATGTGGTGTGTGACATGCATGATCAGTGTTCACAATGTTCCCTGTGCAATGATTTATCACAGCCACAGTCTGAGTCAGGATAAGCTGCTTACACGCACCTCCCAGTCCCAAACCTGAATAACTCAGTGTGCATACGTAAACAGAAAATTTAGGATATTACCATGGAAACTGAGCTAATGCAAACAATGGCATCAAGCAGACATCAGAGTGAGAACACGGACCTCATCCCTTGATGTGGTTCATTTAGTTCGCCTTAAACACGGTATGATGTGTACACTTGAGACAACCTTAAGAAACAAACTGGCTCCTAACCAGCTGATCTCTAAATTTCATCTTCAAGTGACAGCAACACTTCCCGTAGAATCAAAGAGTTTTCCACATGACCAGCCTGGAGCACACTACTGCAGTTTCTTGCCCACAGAAAGACTAATGATGCAAACCTTACTACATGCTGGAGCAGAGACAAGGCGCAGCTGCTTTTCATTTTACATTTATGAGAATGCTGAGCACTGAGACTGTGACCTCTGCAGTGTCTGTTTGCTGCTGCACTTCTTATTGGATTTCAGGAGGTTCAAATGCTGAACGAGACTCAAACACTGGATTCAGCTTTTAGTTAAATACCTAAATAAAGAGCATGTAGTTCATTTTTAAAAATTTGTTTTATTTTTATGATTGTTTTTCATTATTGTTATTATTGTTTTTATATATTATACATATTTTTTAAAACATTTTTTTATTTTCTTTATTTTTATTTTTTTATTTTTGATCAGATCAAATAGCAAAGAGAAATGAAAAAAAAACTGCATATCAAACAAGAGCTTGGGTCTTGAGAGGTTAATGTAACAACATTTTTTTAGAACACAGCTTCTTCATGTATTTCTGAGAGATGAAAATTGTGTGTGTTCTAATACAGAAACTATGTTGGAGTGAGAAAAAAGATACCTACCCACCCCTCTGGAACTGACTTGCATCTATCTTGCTTGTTTAACCCATGCAGTACAGGAGCAAAAATATAGAAATGTTAATTTGTGAGTTTAGGAATAGTGACATGTGGGTACTACTACTTAAACTAGTGTTTTAGAATCTGGTTCAGTGTTTGTATTTGTCCGTTTTGTATCCATAAACAGTCTTATGAGGCCTGTACTACGAAGCAAGTTCAACATATCCAGGTTCTGTTTTTGTTATCTGGCTTCATTAAACCTAACAACCGCAGTCTCACTAGGCGCTCACACAAAGCTGGTTATCAACTTTTTTAGTCAACTACAGTTTCCTGATTCAAGCTTTGAGTGCATTCACATAAAAAAAGGCCAGTGTGACAATACAGAGCGGCATATTTTTTACAAGAAGAACAAACTATAATTCTAAAGCAATACGTGTAATCTCAAAATACAATGGAGGCTAAAAGCAATACAGCTGCTGCATCACTGCCCCATCATGAAGGCACACATAGATCTACATGTAATTAAATCTGTATGTAGCATTGAATGGGCTTAGGTGCAGCCTTTGCTTATGGGGTGTAAGACAATTTTAGTTTTATTCTTCCAGCTGCAGCCCTGGCATTGTTACAGTAACAGTCTTGAGAGTAAAGGACAAATATATAAAACATCATTCAAACCGGTAAGTAGGCTTAGGCTGCAAATCTCATAAGGTCAACAAGTACAAGGATTTAGTTCTTTATCAGTCTCCGTTTTGGGACTATAACGCTATTCAAAGGCCTATAAAAAAAAGTAAAATTGCTTTGAAATTGTTTGCAGTCAGCAGGAAAAAAGACAAAGCACAAGACTAAAGTTCCCCCCACTGAGAATCTATATCTCTCATAACTGTGCTCAGCAGGGAGAGAAAAGGGTTTAGATGCTAAAAACTCTTGGCCTCTGAAGAGACCCTCTCTGTTACTCCACACCAAGCTCCACGGGATCCACAGAAAGAGAATTGATTGGTCAGTAGGAGGTATTTTTATACACATACACACCCTAAAAGAGGTGAGCAGAAAGCTTAACTCTGAAAACTGAAGGTGAAAGCTGAAGTTACTGCGATAACCCCAAATCCTGCCTGGTTGTACCAGACTCTGGCCTTTTCAGTGACATTGTTATGTAAGACTATTAAGGTTATTGATCAAGTTAAGCTCATCTCCTGTATATTTATAGAAGACTGCTCTGAAAAAGGCCTTTGCCAGCTTATACTGTCCTTCTAAATTTGCTGGAGCCCCAGTTTGTATATGTGAAGTGGCAGCAAAGGAGGGAGAAGAGTCACTGTTTGCCGTTTCCACCACTTCTGATTTGCTGAAACAGCCGTTAGGACATGTTTCTGCACATAAATGACTGTTATGAAAATGCCTGGCATTTCAAAGTGATGATAATCTAACAAGCAGTAGCAATAAAAAAAACAGAGCGATAAAGGAAAACTTCCCTGCAGGGATCGCTGAAGTATCACAAAATTACAGACATTATTATAGTATATGATGACACTCAACTGCAATCACGTCTGGGTTCACTCCGAGGTATTTTCCGTTCCCGCAGCCCACATCAGCCAGTGCGCTGCCGGGCGGGAGCAAGGTGAGGAAGTGGCAGACGCGAGGCCAGGGGGAGTGGCGAGTGCTGCTGAAGTGGGGGGCGATGGCGTCGTACACCCGGTGCACGTACTCCTCCTCCAGGCGGGCTGCGTCGGCACGGCAACAGGGAAGCGTCGGGGGAGACGGTGGCAGAGAGGGCGCTGATGGAGCTCCCTGACTGTCACAGGCGGAGGGGAAGGCTGGAGAGGGAAGGTGTTGAACTGTTAGATGTACATACGCTCAGCTGAAGCACAACCATCTCTCACTGACCAGCTGTGCTCCATTAATTACATCATATTTAATATCCTAGAATCATTTTTGATTATCTTCAACTTTTGTGATGATTCTGTAATTGCTTCTTCGCGTAAAAAAATGCCAATTACTGCTTCAAGATTCTCAAATGTGATTGTCTCCTGTTTCCATTTTCAGAAGTCATTAAGGTGTTAGGCTGTTAGTCAGACAAAACAAGCAAATTGAAGATAATACTGTGGCCTCTGAGAAATTGGAACTCTAACTGCTTGCAAATTGAGGATTGCTTTTCGAGTCCTTCGGGGTTATCGCACGCTCATATGTGAGCTGCCAGAATGACATTTGTTTTTATTAGTAAAATGTGTCATAATATTAACAGAAAAGGAAACATATTCACGATTCAAACGGCAGCTTGCATGTTGCAAATTTAGCGAGAAGGAACCCTGTTTTGCATCACCACACATTCAGTCATGTGTGTTTCACAGTCGATAAATAGAGTGAAATGGTTTGCCATGATGCAAACCTAAAGTCAGTGTTTGCGCCTGTGAAGCTTACAAAGCAGACCTTTTCACAAACGATACAGGTCTGCTACTAAAAATGCACTCAATCTTCTGGGATGTGCTTTTGATTAATGTGTCTGTCAGGCTGTGTACTATATATGCGCTCTGCAGGTTGTGACACACTTGACGATATTCAGGGCAGCAGGGTTTTTTTTGTTTGTTTTCTTTTGTCTCTAGGTATTACGAAAATAGCTCGTCTCACATCACTCGCATAATGGTAATGCAGCCTACTGTTAGAAGTCTCACAGTGTGTTTAATTGTGCGCTCAATATTCTCACCGCAGCGGCAGGGATCGTGTCTGATCTTGCGGAAAGTGAACGAAGTGCGGGTGCCCCTCTTGCTCAGGGTGAGATTGCTGTGAGTCCCGAGGTCAGGCCTCGCATGAGCAGGGGATTGTGGGTCGCAGGCCGGCACCATGTCAAACTTTCTAGGAGTAATTCTGAGAACAAAAAGAAGCAATAGTAGTTAGAGTACTGTACACAAATGGAAATTAACCAACACTAGATGTGGATGTGAGAAACTCCATCGATTAGGAGCTAGTGAAAGCATTAGAATGTAGAAAAAGGGCCAAAAGCTAGAGTGTATATGACAAAATACAGTATAGAGAGCAGAGAAATGTCAGTAAAATCAGTAGGCGAGACAAAGAAAAGAATTCAGTCCTCCATGAATCGACCCAAAGCTCATGTCAAGATAAACTCGCTCCCAGAAGCGGAGGCTGATCAATCTGATGCGGCCGAGCTCACCCATGGGTCCACAGGTATCTGCTCTCTCCCTTCATCACCAGGAGGCTCCGTCCCGGCAGCACCACGGCAACAACACCACCATCAGGATGACGGAACTCCATCACGATCTGTAAAAAACACACAAGTGCAGACACGCATTCTTCTATTTACAGACAAAACACAGCAGAAAAAAAATGGAAACCCACTGAGAGACAAAGAACTTAATGGATTGTATGCATCATTATTATTATGGATGCACTGATTTGAGTTTTTTCCTCACCAAACATGACGGTTAACTCAGGACACTTCCTCAAAATAAGTGGCTAAATTTAAAATCTGTGTAAATTAATGCATTTAATTTACTGGACTCAAGTTTATTTCAGCCCACTCTGACAATGTCATGCTCTAAAAAATACCCGATGCTTCTTAATAAGGTCAGCACAGGCGCCAATATGGTAGATTTGATCAACGTGTCTCTACTTGTTATTCTGTAACGGCTGGTAATGAATATTGACCCTAAATACTTGAAGTATCGATCAAACTGTTTTCATAACTTTCAAGTATGCAAAAACTGTTAAGCACCTTTTAATACCTCATTGATTTCTCAATCTTGTTTACTTCATTTCTCCAATAGGATATTGTGTGACTTAATGTAGTTTTGATCATTTTCCTCTCTATCCAGAACCGATCCAATGTTCTCACTTTGACCTTAAACAATCCAATAGGTACGTCTCAAATTGATTAGTCAGTCTGTTATTATTATTCAGGTGTTGCTCATCCAGATTTACAGCACAAATTAGTTATTGAATAAATACTGATGTCAAATTGCAATCAACATCATAAATGAAAAGAAAATGAGAAGTAAAAAAAATTCCCAAACATAAAAGCTTCTTTCTTTAACTCAACGCTTGTGACTGACGTCACCCCGGGGAAGAGGAAAAAAACACAGTCCTTCTGCTCTCTCTCTCTCTAACAACCAGCTGAGGCATCTCCACCCCGGCATTGGTGTTTGATCCTAATGTTTCCCTACAGCACATAACAGCACAAGCTCTGCTGGGAAATTACATCCACACAGTTTCAAACTGCATCTCTCCAACTTCTGACAGCAGGCAAATTGGATTTTGCGAAGAGGAGGCATGTGTGTGCGCGAGTGGCTGAGTGAGTGAGAGACAGATTCGAGTGATGTGTTTGATTGCGAAAGAGCAGGCGACTCCAGCAAGTGATCGGATCTTCTTTTCAGACCGCAACCAAGCTCCCACACGTTCTCCCTCCAAACACACAAACAACAGGCAGTGACAGGAGTGTACGGTTCCCATCTGAGGAGTATTAGCTGATTAATGAAACCGGTGGAATGTGACGGAATCGATGGTGATGCTGGCAGCTACACGTTACTACGAGACTCATCATTCTCACACACACTCACATTTGTGTGGCTATGCTTGTGAGGACATTCAATGGTATTACGCAGCTCCTTACTCGGACTTTAACCATAATAAAAATAAATGCCTAATCTAAATCTTACTCTACCATTAGACCCAACATCCTCAAAGGGAAAGTGAGGATTGGTCAAAATGCGCTCATTCCCATGGTCTGAAACTCAACCTTGTCCTCTCAAAGATAGACATACACACGCACACAATCCTGTAGACAGACATTTATTTCTTTTCTTGCTACGTCTCCTCAACACAAACAAGCTCAATAAACCTGGTAAGTGCACCTATATTTACTGCTTCATTGCATGAAGTTTTCACATGTTTAATCAGTCAATCAGTTGTGTTTCTTTTTGGAAAAACTGAAATCTAATCAAACTGAGTGACTGGCAGAAAGCGACACTTTTATGATGCACTAAATCGTTTTGGGGTTTTTTTTCCGCAGGAATCGACACTGAATCAAATCACAGTTGGATAAACTCATTACAGGCACAGATGAACAAAATACAAGAAAAAAAATAGGTTTCATCATATTTGTGTAGTTATACTGCGTTTTCAAATTAGTCACTTATTATATTCTCTGCAGTCATCACATCCACAGATTCAGAGAGTTTGGGGGTTGAAATACGTCATTGCGTTGTAATAATTGATATGTAACTGATATATTCGAGTTATTAGTTGTAAATGTAGTTTACGTCTGAGGTAAATCAGGTGAAGTCCACATGGGGACCTTCTTTAACACGTTGGGCATTTTTCGATGAGGATGTATTACTGAAACAGTGGTTGAGATATGATACTGGTATCAGGTTCCTGTTGGTTTTTAGCAGCAACAGTCTGATGCAGTTCAGCCACAACAGATCCGCAGTAATGGTAATATGCTGTCAGGTATAATACTACTAAGAATTGAAATCCCAGTGTAATGTCTGTTATCTAATGCTGACAGTTGCACATGCTTGCTGCCCCTCAACCATCCCAAATAATAAACCTGATAAATATTTTACAACCACAGCTCCTCCTCACGAGTAGAGTGGAGGCTAGGGATGCCCAATAAGTCATGTAAGCTAGTTTAATTGCCACTTAATTGCTTAAATGAATGTGTCTGTCAGTAATTTGTGCTCAACATAAATGTCTTCAGGGCCATCTGATCATTTCAAATATTCTTCTCAATACTATCTCCTCCTTTAGCTCTGATCACTTGATATACTATGACTATTCTTTCTTTTTTTTGAGGCTCACAATCTCCACTGAAAAGCGAGGACAATAAATTCACTGCACACACACACACACTGTCTGTCAGTCTGTGTGTGCGACAGATGCCGCAACAGATGACAGCTGATTGCTAATAGAGCTGCTGTTTTTCAGCCGAGCGGGGACAGACGGGTGTTTATCTGCAGCAATGAGCCTGCGGAAAATTAAACCAACATCCCAGGTCACAACACCTGGTAACAGCTGGAAGAGTCAAGGGCATAAAGGGACCAAAAGTTTAGAGGACAATCTGTATCTCTTGCACTCAGTCTTTGTCTACAAAACTTCTCACAACCAAGTCATTAACTAGATGTTGTACTGACAGAATGCCACAACGAACAAGAGGATGGCAGCGTGTCAGAGGGGGAGATAAGAATGAGATGTTGCAAGAAGGTAACGAAATGTTCTCAGCGAAATCACAAGGGAACAAGATCTAAAAACACTGCAGCACAAATGGACACGCACACTATCAACAACACCATGAGATCGATGAATCACAATGCTCGGCAAGGTGGTGGTTAATCGTATTGATCAAACCAAGGGCCAGCTGGTGAGAGATGATGGGATTTTGGCTGTCAAATAGTATCAAATCTTAAAAATGGGCTGTTTAAAAGGGGAAAAAAGGATTCTTAAATTGGGTTATATCATATAGTCCTGCCTTAGTCTTCATCTGGATGTGATGTGATGATCTGTGATAGCAAAACATGGGATTTCCAAATCCAGATCCTGAACAACTAGTCCCAGGACATAGACAGGAAGTGAAAGACAAGCATTTGAAAACCACACATTTGCATTCATGTCTATCTTTTTTTTCTATCTGATCTTTTTTTTCCTGTTTTGTATTTAGATTTATATTGTTTGACATTCGTTGTGGATAAGCAAGAACTTCATAGTCTAGGGAAACGTGTCCTTACTGTTCATGTGACAATAAACACTTTGAATCTTGAATCTTTACAGTTGCACCTGTGTTTTAAGCTAAAATCTGTTTTCTTCAGACTCTTCAAATGTGTATTTCTTATTGTGATTATTGATATCTGCACCCTGAGTATTGCTGGTCGACACTGGCTGTTTTATTGTTGAGTAAATCACCATCTCCAAGGTCTGTGGTGATGTTTATGTCAGAAGTGTGGGACCGATTTCTTACCTTTGCCCCCAGACTCAGAGATAGGATGGTGTCCTCAAAGGCAGAGTGAGTGTCCACATGAGGGGGAATGCCTGAAGATATTACAGACACATGCAAAATAAAAATTGTTACACCAAAGTCTATAAAGTGAAACTCATACAAATCTCTGTTAATGCATTTTAGTGTATGTGGTTGAGCTTTAAAAAACATAATTAAAGAGAGTTCCTTTACAAAAATATGAACTTCACCCCTAAAATATTTTTTGATACTGTATTATAAAACAACTGGAAGGGTGCAAGGACTTTCATCGTTCCTCACTGCTCCTGATTGGAAAGATTCTGCTGCCACCTTGTGGTATCAATCTGTAAACTCCATTTGTGTGCTACTTTATTCAGGTTAAAAAAAAAATCAACAGTGTAACCACAGTTCAATAATACAATCTGGGGAACAAGTGAGTCTGTTTCCAGTTCTGCTTTTTTTGACTTGATACTTTAGCCTTACTATAGCCTCTAAAATAATGGCATTAACTATACAAATAGTGCATATTTTTTTCTTTCAGTACACACTACAAGACTGCCTCACCATTGTACATATACATTTCTACAGCACATCTGACTAACCTTCATTTAGTAGTGATTTTGCATGAACGGATCATGTTCTGAATCAGCCATTTCCCCCTAACACTGGTTGCTGAACAACCCTGACATGTTGATATTGATATTTTTGTGAATTATTCATGTGTTTATGCCTGTATGCAACCAAGTCAGTCATTAGAGGCCGGAAGAACTCACCCTGTCCAGACTCATACTGGTTTACAGTCAGCTGGTCCGGCATGATGCTGATGTGTCCGTTCCTTATACACCGATCCAATAACGGTAAACACTGCTCAGGGAGACCTAGATACACATACCCACTTAGTTATTTCTAATTTTCTTTTCATTTTCATAATGTACCATTTTCTTCACTCTTGCAAGCATCTAACTGTGCCCTGTGCCCTCCTGAGAAGCTAAAATAATAAATGACAGCAGGAAAGGATTAAAAGATTTCCGATTTTGGAAACTTTTAACAGGAACTGGACACTGTTGAGGACAGCAAAGCATATGGCAGAAAACTCCACAGCAGCCCAGAAGTTCAGCGCCATAATTGTCAAGTAAAATGTTACAATGGGTGAAAGGACTAATGACCAAACTGAAGAAATCACAACCCCTAAAACCCTGGCTGGAAGTAAAATAATGGAAAAATAACAAGACGCTTACCTGCTGGTAACGGCTTGTCCTTATCCACGTTGTTGTTATCATAGCGAAATTCAAAACCATAATGTTTGACTCTTCTGTGCTTCAGAGCTTTTTGAGCTAAAAGGATATTAGGATGAAGTTATCAGCTTAGCAAAAACTGTTTTCACTCCTTCTCAAATAAACACAAACTTAAAGAGAATTATTTATAATTCATTAAGAGTGCCTGACATCTTCTATCATGCAGTTTTACATTTATAGTTAGTGTTTTTTAGCAAAACATTAAATGCCTGATTTAAAAGATGCGCCACAGCCTTGTAAACAACATTTTTTAAATATCTTTAAATATTTATTCAAATGTTTTGCTGCTTTTTTGCTCTGTTCTGCCGAATCGTTTGATTGGTGTCAGGTTCAGTGTTAAAGATTAATTTTTTCTTTGTGAATAACACAAGAAGATGTGCATCCCTAGCCCGACTAATAGAACACGCAAGTCCTCACCGGTGATATCATCATTAGTGGACGACCAGTCTATAGCAGTGAGCAGCGCAGCTTCCTCTTCTGGAGACACAAAATCCTCCACCAAGATTAATCCTTCGGGTAAAGGGACAGACGCCTCCTCTTCGTAGGTTACTGTGTACAAACAATCGCACAATAAGGCTTAAAATACTGGCTGCAAAAATGTGGTTCCCATGGGAAATGATAAAGCTCACCTGAACATTAAACTTTTGTCTAAAATGTAAAAGTCTATTTTAACAATTTTGCCAGCGATTTAAAATTGTGTGTATGTGTTAAAATTTAAGGAAAGTACCTGATTCCACGTAACTGAGGTAGAGCGTGACACTATTCTCCCCACACTGCAGCGTTTGTCCGTTAAGTTTGACCTGAGCGGTTCGAGCACTCTCTTCAGATCTGGAAACAGGATGACAACAGCAGTGTTTAAACAGTGCTATGTTAAAATCACTTGTTCCTAAAGGTATAAAATAAGTTCCTGCACTGTACCTGTACGTGACGAAAGCATAGGGCTTGTGAGGAGGCATGACCAGACTCTCCACCTCTCCCATGTCCTTCAGCGCTGCAGAAAGCTCCTCTCGACTAATGCCGTTTCCCAGGCCACCGTTAGCCACCACCAAACTCTAAAGACAAGAGTAGATTGTATACTAAGCAGTTAAACAATTAAAAGAAGATGACTGGAAAACCAAGAACCCGACAGGTTAAAGGTCTGAACCAGTCACGTCATCAGATTGTATTAAATCCACCAAAACAAACAATAACAATCTTCACACCTGTCCAGACACAGTTGGATGCTAAATTAGCCGACAACACATGCCTTCAACAAAGCCAACAAACCTCTTCCATGTCTGATTTTATTTTGTATAACATCTTGTCAGTCTTATAATTCAATAATGTCACTTTGCATGTGTTTAAATCGCATGTTTTAAATCATTTCACTTGCTTGGAGAAAAACAACATTAACTTAGATGTGTGTGCTACAGTACAACACATCTGAGTTGATTATGTATAGTATGATTTTTTTTCTCTTTTTTCATATTCTGTAACAGTGTGGCACCACCATCAACAATCTCACAATGTCACCTCACATTCTTATACATTGGAAGGTACAAAAAGCATGCACAAGGGCATCACTGTCGCATCCTGAGATCTATTCAGCTTTGAGAGCTTCATTTATTTTTATTTTCTCTAATTTGTCTTCATATGTATCAATAGTTTAGCCCGAGTGCTTCTTTCCACATATCCAAGGATAAGATAGTAACAGACTAACCAGGAGCACAGTGAATAGCATCCATAAAATACCACATCGTGGATCTAAATTTGGACTATCAGCTTCTTCAATAAAGGCCTGTCAACCCTGGAACACATTACAAAGTAAAACCAACCTACTCACAGGTATAAAATCTTTCAGAACAAAGGTTAAGGCTGGCTGAACCTAATCGACACCAATGTGTTTGTTCTGAGGCAATCTTTCCATGGTTCCATATTAACCATTGTTTTTGCATTATGAATCAGGTAATTCATTTGATAATATTGTGGGTTCTTAAACTCAATATTTAAGTTACATTCATGTGTATAATATATCATTTGCAGGGGCGTTACTAATATAGAGGCCTGTAGGGCCTTAACCTTAATACTAAAACTTGGAAGGTAAATTCGTACCATTAATCTTTAACCTCTGGTGTTTACAATGAGCTGTATAAAACGTTGACTTGACTAACTGTAGTTATTTAGAGTTTTTTCCCCGTCCATCACAAATTATGTATTTTATTAGGAGCCTTTCATTGTACTTCCTGGCCTGCAGTGTTCTGCTGCTTAATGAGAATGAAAGCTGTATATTTAATTGTATCGTCCCTATGAAAAAAAACAAAGACAAAATAGCTGATTCAGATTCAATTTCTTGTGCAAATACCTTCTAATGCTATCATTTCATATTCAAAAGCTGATTCCAGTTGTATGACAGAAAATGACAAGTCCCTTATGAAGCCTTCACTGCTGTAATGTTTCGTTAGGAGGCTTCGATAAGTAAACACAAGCTAACACTAAAGCGATACATGGAATTTATTCAGGTATGTCAGCAAAATACTAGCGTGTTTTCTATCTAAAAATGATAATTAACTTTAAAGTGTCTTTTACGGTTTCCAATACCTGCAGGATGTAAATACAGAGGACCATATGTGACAGTTAGCTCCATTTCGTGCCTCTCAGTTGCTCGACTTCCGGTTAATAAACGCGGTTTTTCTGTTACCTTGGTGGGCTGCGCTGCTGTACTGATGCCTTCATGTTTCAGCAAAGTGTGACTGGCTTTTATCTGTTTTTTAAGAACTTTCTTCTCCTCTTTGCTCCTTCTGACGGCATTCACGTTGTTTTCCACATAAGAGTCCATGGTACGTTCTTTTTTTGTGTCCGGGTGCAACAAGCATTGAAACACTATGTTTCCTGAAGCGTCTCATCCCGAAATAGCAGCACCGGAGGCAAACGTTGTCTCTGTGTTATGTAATTGTTCCTGTTAAAGTCACTTTGTAGAATTTATCTGTGGACAAAACATTTGTTAACATTATTTATTCTGACTGCATGTAAAATGTTTCTATTGAAAACTGGAATTGTGTGCATTGTTCAATGTGTTGCTCATGCCTAATGTCCTTGTTGAAACCAAGAAAAATAATTCTGAATATAAGATGGGTAGATTCTATTTTGGAGCTAGTTTGGACCGTGCTAGCATTTATTTTTAATCATTGTTTTCCCCCTTCTTTTTTCCCCCAATAGATCCAGAAGGAATCCACCCAGTCCCTGAGATTTTCTATGACGTTAAGAGATTGCACACAATATGAAACATAAACTAAAACAACAAAAAGTGCATATTCACACATTTAATCATGCTGCCTATACAGCACAGAATCAAGTTTTTTTTCTGTACCCATGAATAAAAACAGAAATTTCTACCTGCATTAACATGTAGATAATCCCATAAATAACTTTGAGAACCTAAAAATTATATTTCCAATAAAAAATAGAATAACATTGAAGGCCCAAGGCTGTAAAAGTCCTCAAACCCTTGCTGTCTTTGAAACAAATGGATGACCAGACAACCACTCCCAACACTGGTTCATAAATCTGTCTTTCTTACACTATGCCTGTCATTTTCCTTCTGAATACATTTTGTTAACCTGAACCTTGCAAACATCAGAGTACTTTGTTGTTAATCCTTTTCACAGCAGATATTTTTGCTTGTCATAACAAAGTCAGTAATGTCAACAATAAGCTCTGTTGCAAAAGTTAGTGCAATGCAATGCAGCAGTTATTATTCTTCCTGTACACCTGAGTTGTACAAGTAAAATGTTCTATTCAACTTTGTCTCACTCTCTGCTTGGTGTTGTGATACTTCTGGTATTTGCACCCTTCAGGAAATCCTGCTGTTTATCTCCCTCTGTGCATAAAATATCCCACCTGTGCCATGTTGGTATCAATAGTAGCAAGATAATATTATGCTTACTCTTGTTCTGTTTTTGTTTTTTCTAGTCTAAGTGTGTCTTCTCTCTTCTGTTCTTATATCCAAGCCATACTGACGTCCAGCGTTTTGTGCTTTGGTTCCATAATACAGGCATTATATAAACTCCGATGGCAAATCCATGCCACATGCCTCCCTAATCTCCCAACAAAAGACAGACAAAAATGCTCCACGGATCACTCCATAGGCTCCGTTAACTTGACACTAAGGGATAAAATGTAAGTATATGGGGCGACTATCCTGGGAGGAATGTGTGTCATTCCAATTTCATCCATTTCACTCATCCATCATCGGACTCAACTCAAATTCTGACAAGTGAGGACAAATCTTTTATTACCTGAGACAGAAAAAAAACATCGTCACACTGGGCTAGTTAGCATTTTTTTCTGAATACCCTAAACATCAGGACATTTTCTGATTAAATACAAGCAGACTCTCACATTCGGGCATGAGCACTGAGTTGTGATTGATGTATTCTGTCCATGGTTTTGCCTTTGATGCAGTGTCTGCCCTGGTCGCTGCTTTCTGTGTGTTTCCTCCCTCAGTGGGGCCAATTAGCTCAGATCCTGCATACAAATTCCTCTACAGTCAGATTAATGACTCCACAACCCCTTTGGATATAAGTGTGTCTGTGTGTCTTTCTATGTGAGCATGAAACATTTGTGCATTTATGTGTGTGCGTGCCACGGGGTTGTTGTGTAATGAAGCCCTCACCTGTCTTCGGCCATCTCCGTAATTACAGTGCCAGGCTGAGCTGCCGGCCAGTGGGAACCCTATGTTGTCTTAACAGCACGCTCAGTTTAGTCTACAAAACAACAGCTGGTCAGGCAGAAGAGAGTATCTTTTTATCTGTCAAAACCATCATATAAAATCTTCACTCATTGGATGACACACCAAGAGGCCAGTCACATTCGATTTTGGAGGTTCAGTAAGAATTTGAATTGTTTGTGTGTATTAGGATGAAAACTCTGCATAACTTTATCCAAGTTAAAGAAAAGATGGCTGACTGAATGAGCCGGATTCAATTCTACTCCTATTTTCTGTCACTGTAATCCAAAGATTGTTGTCAGTCTTTTTGCAGTTTATTACACAGATATGTTTCTCAGCACATGGATATGTTTCCTACTTGGTGATGGAGATTATTTCTGACCACTTTAAGGGCAATGCGGGACTTTTACATCTACATTGGCTTAAATGATGAAATTTGAATCATTAACTTGTGAATGAGAAATGAATGAGTGTCAACAATATACCAAGTGAAAATGTAGCTTTAAGGGTATGAAAAGAATGATGTTCCCTTTGCCAGTACTCAAGGGCAGCTTCACCTCAAGCACTAGCCAAGCTCTGATAAAGCAGTGTAATGGTGAGAAGTAGTGGAACCACTTGTGTACCCTCAGGCATGCTATCACCGTTTGAAATGCAGGGCCGGTAGCCATTGGCCTGGTTCCTGTTGCTGGCATCTTTGTATTCTAATTAGCTGGAACTGCATGATTTGGATAAAGATTGATGGATAAATAAACCAGATGCTGCCTTTTATAACAGTGGTTCTGATCCCTACTGCTCTCTCTCCATAAACAGATATCTGTATCAGTATGTTTGGTGAAAGATGAGTCATCAAAAACTAAAGTGATGAAACAAGGAGGTACAAGAACAGAAGTACATCAGCAAAAGCTAGCTTTTGTTTCATGAAGTAATGACTGAATAAATAATACAGATGTATAAACATTTTGAAATCTGAAAAGATTTTTGACGCATATGTGTCCTCCAGAGACAAAAAGTTCACAAGTATTTTCTGCGATTTTATTTCCTATTCAGTTGAACATAAAACATAATGAATATACATTGAGGATATTTTTAAATGTTTGCCCTCTTTAAACAGCCAAAAATTTGTCTTGCATTACACAAAAATCCACAAGAGAAGTCACACAACCCTGTAGCATTGAAGAAGAGAAAGAGAGGAGTTCGTTCGGTGACTAATAGAGAAAGACAGAAATAGAAGTCACCATTAGACTATGGCAACAGAGATGACATTCAAACAGTATAACTCAACTGGCCAAAATATTTACAAGGCTGATTACTGTGTTCGCTCATCCATCTGGTGTGTGTATCATCTCTCTGTCAGAATGATCGATAAATTCTTTTCTTTCTTTTAATCATTATTGTTGCAGTGGCTAAGATTTGCACACTTTAATGAGAAAAGTTGTGGCCTAAATCATTTTTCAGCACCAGTTATTTGTAGACTAATGTGTAGACTAAACTGCAGGACAGCTGGTGTTTATTTAAAATGAGAAAATCTCCTGAAGGACATTTTCAGCTTCAATTATCCCATGTTTGACATTTTTTAAAGTATTTTTTATTGGCTGTCAGATGAAAGAATATATTGTATTTACACAAATCTGGGTTGTAAAATAAAAGGCTAGATGTATTTGTAGATAAGTAATAACTTTTTCAGGACTTCTGTTGTTATATAAGGAGTTCGCTCCTTTTCTTCTTTTTTTTTTCCCTTTTTTTTCCTGTTAAATAAGACTGACACATCCTCATTTCTGTCTAATAAATATAACACCAGAGCAAGCAGCTCACAGACATAGCCTGGAAACAAAATCCCAATTTGTCAAATATATTTTTTGTACTTATTAAATCCGATATAAAAATGTAATTAGAAATCTTGAATTTCAATATGCCTCTGCTTTAACTTAGCTTTTTCATGATCCAGACTTTATTCTAAGTTAAGCTAATTGTCTTATAATTCATTTATTGTATGGGATTTTCACGAGGCAAACTGGGAAAAACTATTCTCTTGAGTTAAATGAATCTCTAAAAATATTAATCACAACAAATGAGTGAAATTTGGCCGTTTAACTGGTTTAACTACAGCATCTGCATTTTGATGAGCCACCTCGCATAATGCAATCCTCCTAGGTCGAAAATAGGGATGTTTTTCCGATTGTTCCTGTCTTCTAAAATTACATAAATGCAGCATATGAAATCATGTAATCGGGTGTAATGGATATTTGAATGGCTTACACGTCACTACATAATAAGGTATTTGCTTATGAAATAAATGTTTAGGATTGGAACCACACTCTGTACGCTAAATGTGGGGCCACAGTGAGCAGGTGATAGTAGTGTAACTTAGCTTAGCATAAAAACTTGAAGAAAATACATATTTTGTAACTTTATATAAAGCATTAATTAGTGAGTTTAAGAGATGCTGGTAACTTTGAATAATAATAATAGTAATAATAATAATAGTAATAATAATAATAGTAATAATAATAGTAATAATAACAATAATAATAATAATATAGTTAGGTTATGCAAAACTAACCTAACTTTATATGCTTCAGCATATATTAGCTGTTAGTAATGTAATTAACAAAGCCCTGATACATGTTTGAATATGTTCTAACATGTCCCAGACCAATGTCCATCAGCCGCAGTGTTTAGTGGCTCCATATCTGTTGGGATAAATTTCTAATAATAGTCTTTCCCGGGTAACAGTGGTTTAAGGATCTATAGAAGCTGCATTTTGTTTTGTTGTTTTTTGTTTTTTTTTTAAAGAAGACAAAAAAAAAAAAAGCAAGAATCTGAACAAAGGAACTTCACATATGAGGCTTTTTCAAAGTAAAAGCCCCTAGGTTGCTGGGTAGAAGTTAACAGTACGCATCAAGCTACACTACACCATCAATATAAATTTTTGAAATGATATAAAGGTTACATATCAACCAGCAGAAGCTGCACTGGCACACTCAAACTTTCTTCAGACATTTTCTACTTAGATATATATTGTCAATAATTTCCCAGAGGTACCCAACCAAAGAGATCAATAAAGTTTTATCTAAGTTCTGTCTAATTCTAATCTAATCATGCAAAAATGGCAAAATGAGCATGGAGCTCAGCCCTGCAGTCGACAGATCTAAATCTGTTAACCTACACACAAAGCAACATCACTTTAGCCCTTTAAACTCATTATCGTTTTCCCAATCTTTACCACCTTTCTGACAGATGAAATTTTGTCTTTCTGAACAGTCCTTGATGATCAAGGACTGTTGAGCATTAACACCGCTAGTGTTATATTTGGAAAAGCTTCCACAGTGCTTCCACTGGGACGGACAGTTTGGCAGCATCCCTTGGTCTTCTGGCTTCTCTCCATTCAACCACCACCACTCTCCACCCAGGAAGCGGAGGCCTACCCAAACCTGAGAAACACAAGACAAGCTTTGAATGTGACTGATTTTGTCTGTACTGCTGACATTTTCATTCCACTTATGCTTTCTTTATTGGGGAGAGTTCTTAACAATAAGAGACAGCAAATGGATTATGTTGTGTTGTGCAAAATAAGCCAAGCACTGGGGCTTTCGCAAAAACTTATTTGGTTGACTATCAGTCCTTAATATTCTAAAAATGCATTGCTTGATATTTTTACGGTGTCCATTTGAAAGACACTGGATGAAAAAATGATGCCTACTGTTTGGCATTTAGCTCATGCCAATTTCTTGATTGGCTAGAGAGAGGAGGAAGGCGATTCAGTCTGTTGAAAATGTACAGTTGCCCTAAAAAAGCTGATTGCAGAATGTATCAATAAAATGATAGATTTAAAAAAACAACACACCACAAACATGACCAATTAACAAATCTGTTTTCTTTTCTGTCCATCCACAAAGGGCCTACAGGATACATCAGAGAGGCTGTGGGTTAATTAACAAGATGGGGAGAAAAAATTTTAAAAATCTTTGTGATTTAATTCTGCAGTCCTCACAAACAGAAGGAATATTTTTTCAGTAAATAGATTTAACTTCCCCCCTCCACCCAAGAGATTCAAGGTCTTCATTTGTCAGTCATACACAGTATAACGCACAGTGAAATGCTTTGCCCATGCTCAAACCTCATCAGTTGTGGCTCTGTAGATCTTGTCCGTGACATAGCCGTAGTGAAGCGAGTTTGTCAGGCTCAGGAGGTCATAGCAGTGCGTCGGGTGTCCCGTATCGTCAACGCATGATGTATTCATTTCCCTGCAGTGTCTGACGGCGTCCTCCCATGTCTTCCTCTCATTCACCACCACCAGGTTGTCTTCATAGCAGACAAACCGGAATTGCGAGAAACAGTTAGTGGCGTGCCATTTTTTGCTGGAAGCTGTAAAAGTTGCACAGTCCATTAAGAGTGAATCATTTCGTGCCCAGTTTGTGTAGGTAAATGTCGAATTATCAAGCCAGCTCCAGGTGTGGCCATCTTCACTGAATAGTCCAATCCAACCGATCCAAGTAAAGTTCTCTTTGTTTAACTCTGTCACGGTGGAAAGGACACTAGCATTATCCCTGCAGTATTCTAAAGCTCTGGACCAAGGGACTGAATCATTGTAAAATTGAACAGTGTCCCCATTAGTGCAGTAGAAAGGACGGTGGGCCCAACATTTTGAGCTGTACCACTTTAGCCTCTTTGACACAAATGCACAAGAACTACCATCCGGCTCTTCAGCGCCCCAGCGTGTGTTCTGCGAGAGATCTTCTCCTGAGAGCCCTTCACCGGTCCTGACACAAAACACAACAACAATACCAAGCTTAGCAACCCCATTTTACCTCATTTATATTTAAAGATCTTGTCATCTATGTAAAGATAGTTTTAGTTAGGATACTCACATTAGATTTATCCCCCTCCAGACTGTAGGTTGCTCAGGATCCCTGTGGACACCAATCCAGATACGGCGATTTTGGGTTGACTTCAATTGGGAAGCCAGACCGTTTCGGGAGACTGTGTTCCAACTTAACATGTCAGTGTGCGTGCTCCGGCAGTACGATCTTGCATCTGTCCAAATTAGTTTCCGATTTGGCGGAGAGAAATATTTGTATTGTAGTTGTGCTTCTGACCAGAGAGAAGCAATGAGAAGGAAGAAGAGTTTGACTTCGAGGCTGTTCTTTTGCTCCATGTCTGGTCCTGTCTTCACCTCGAATCAGTTGTGTCAGTTTGTCTCTCAGTGGGGACAGCTCATGGTGTGGTCAGTGTCTGATGAGCTGTCTCTGCTTTTACAGCTTCTTGTCTGGTCAGTGCCACCTGGATGCACGTCACTAGATGCAGCTGACCAGTAACACCTGTCCACGCCTGCTGATACAGCACAGATGGAGCTAGTCATGCAACATTTCTTTTTTTTTTTTTTCTTTTTTTTTCCTACAGCTGTAGCTTCCACTCTCGTAATCATTTATCTTCAACTTTTTTCTTGGAGCTACTTTTTTCCTTTCTTTTGCATTATGTCTATGTAAAGTTTGTGTGTCAACACAATCCTATTTAAACATTTGTGCCAATTTCAGAAGTTATCCAGGATATTTCTGACGATACCAGAGAGGTACCTGGAAAGATTATGGAGTGTTTCAAGGATATAATACATTGAAGTGAAAATCATCACACAAGTAGAATTTCAAATTGTGTCATGCTGATTTTCAGTTCATTTATTGTATAGTTACAGTACCAGTAACCTTCCACCTGTAATAAACCTTAATTCATGTCTCTACTATATCACATTAACTCTGTCCTCTTCTCTTAAGACATCTTACCCAACTCTTTTGCTTCATATTTTCGATACCCCTCTGTCATCATCTTTCTTCCATTCCTCTCCTCCTCAGACATCTTGAGAAGATCTCTTTGTATTTATCACTTTTTCCCTTAGTTTTTCTGCTCCTGCATTTCTGTGTTTTTCACTTATTAAAATGCTCACATAAACAAGAGAAAAGTAGAAATCTTCTCCTAGTGGAATAACTGAGGGGGAAAAAACATTGAAAAAATTGGATCCAAATGCAGTCATGTGTGGTGTCGTGAAAGGCTCTGTGTTTGAAAGCTTAATTCTAATCTCCTGCATTCAAAACTGTCCAGTTGTCATGCTTGGATGGGGAAATCAGTCTACAGGTAAATGACTGAATTTGAATCTTCTTCGAAAAGAAATGCTAATGAACAAATCCTTGACCCGTCTAATCCTGTCTGGCTTTTGCAAGATGGTGTCTTCTGAAACAACAAAAGCAAAGCAGCTCGGAGCAGCTCAAATGAACATTTGCATTTGCCTGATAGTTTTTATGGACTGCTGACAAAGACAAGTGGCAACTGCTGAGAACATTCATACAGTATACCATTAATATACTGTAATACTAAATTTATCCCTTTCTTTTTTCAGATTTTTTTTTTGTAAAATAACAACATTAGAGCAAATAAATAAATAAATGGTGGTAAAAGTCAAATGAAGGGGCAATAGAAGCATCACAATAAAATAAATATAGAGACATAATGTGTGCACATAAAATGTGTATTTACCCACTGCGGATGTCTTGCATCTTAGTCAAGCCCGTCATAGTTTAGTTAAGCAAATACACAGGTATCACAAAGTTGCAGACTGTTATCTTATATTTTAGTTTGAAACAGAGAAGAGAAGACAGAACACTCCCTGAGGCAGTCGACTAAGTTACGACTAAGAGTCTGAATGAGTGTATTAATAAAGGGATGCATTTTGCAAATTTCACAATTTGTCTAACCATGCACATACACTGAGCGTAATTTGAGTACCATTAAATAACCAAAATCATGTGTTTGCTTGTTTCTTCAGAGAACAGTACATAAGTTTTAAAAGAGGAGTTTACGTAACTTGTCCCACAGCTTGGAGAAAACCCATACAAACTATATATCAAAACATGCTGCTACATCGCTCACGGTATGTTACTTCTTTTGTTAGCAATTCACAAAAAAAATGTGTTAAAAATCCTTGTTGATATGAATGGGAGGTTAGCCGGACAACTGCCAACACCAATCCATCTTTGGAGCCCTTCATTCAAAGTTTACCCAGATCACAAGGCTTTGAATATGATTTGTCTAAATTTGTGTTTTGATATCTTTAGTGGTTTTCTACGCAGTCTCAGTTTATGTTGTATGAACTTCATGAAAATCCAGAATCTTCCCTCAGTTAGTGTGCGTCACCCACACAAAATTTTGACTTCAAAAATGTCATGAAAGAAGGTGTAGTTATGCTTGTTTCCATTTAAAGAGTTCATTTGCATAAACAGATGATTCCATCTTCAGCAACCTTCAGAAAAACCCACTTTTCCATCGTCTACCTGAAACAATATCAATCAAACCTAAGTTATCTCTATTTTTGTCATGCCATTTTTACTGAGTCAAATCCACTCAACTTCAGTTTACTTGATATTATCTCATTATTTAAAACATGATTGTGCTTCACAAGATTAAATATTTTTTTCAATACAACTTAATGTTTTTAAGCTGTGACCGTTTGTTCAAGAGGGAAAACCCTATTGTCTGCCCTCTGACTCGGATTCTGTCTCCTCTGTTCGCTGTCTTCTTGCCCCTCCCCCTTCCTGAAAAGGTGGGAATCACCATGGCAACCAGTGACTCACAGGCAATTGGCTGATTGGAGTTCTTCTTTCTCAGTTCATTGTCAAACATGGGTGCCTCCATTAGCATTGTACAATGTTATAGTGTGCTCTGTCAACTTGCTAACAGCAAGGCAAATCAACACAGCTGCTACTAATGATATGAACAAAGTATTGATACACGTTCTAACGTGTTCTAACATGTCCCAGAACAATATCCATCAGTCACAGAGTGCTTAGTGGCTCCATATCTGTTGAGTTAAACTTCTGAATAAGAGCGTCAGGAAATGGGGTTTTGGGCTGTGTTTATGTTCTCCTGTAGTTTTCCACCAGAGGGCATCCTGGTGAACTCCTGCTGTGCTGGGGCTTATTCCCTGCAGGTGTGTTTTCCACACAACTGCGATTCATCAGGCTCGTCACCCCTTGGATATAAGGAGCTGGTTGCCAGTCACTCATCACCTGACTGTTAACCTACGTGGTAACGTCAAGCCTCCTCCCGAGTTTTTCTCGTGCTTCTTCCTGAGTCTTCTAGTAATTGTCTCTCTCCTTCTCAGAAGGTTTTTTCCCAGTGTACCCGCTCCTCGCATGTGGTTCCCCACAACCTACCTGTGCCAGACCCGAGTTTTCTCCGTCACTCCCTGGATCATCTGCTAATGACTGGTAACGCACCTGCTTCTATCACTCCACTGCATTGACCACCGTATGGCCTGTCCGCCCCAGCCGTCCACAAGCCCCACATCGACGTCCCAGTCTGGTTCAACCTCATCCTTGCACATTTTCAATCTCTGCAATAAATTTCATTTTTCTAGCTCCATTTCTCCTGAGTGTTGCTTTGCATGTGGGTCAGAAACGCAACAAAACCATGACAAAGATTCTTTCTTAAGGATCTATAGAAGCTGCATGATGATGATGTTTTTTTCTTCAAAAAGGAAGAAGCATTAACAAGGCCAAGGAAAAGAAGTTCAAGTATGTGGGCTTTTCAAAGTAAAACCCCCTAGTTCGCTGAAAAAAGGTTAACAAGACTCAAGATGAAACACACTTTCAAAATAAAAGTTTTGAAATGTCACAAACGCCTTACAAGGGACTTTGAAATATGTTGGATTTTCAAAATTAAACAGACTTATATAAATTATGCCTTATGTATAATTACAGCTGGACATATCAACTGGCAAAAGCTGCGTTGGCACATTCAATATTTCTTCAGACATTTTCTCGTTTATTCTGCAATAATATTCACAGCTGGAAACTGTCGCCACACTAGCTTGCACTCCATGGCAAACAGTCTTATTGCATGGACACAGGCACGTACACAAACACACACACACACACACACACACATAGCATCCCAGAATGTGTGGTATGGTGTCTCTGAGGCCTTGTTGACACCCTTCTGTCTCTCCACTGATTTAGAGGGCAACCCTGCCAGCACTTTCCTGTCTTAAGCGCACACACAGCTGTCAGAGTGGGCCGAGGTCCATCCCGCAAAAAAGATGCCTGCACACCTCGCCCTGCTTTATTCAATCACCCCGGCACTGGATCTCCGTGACAATGGGAATCCCAGGGTCAAATGGCGGGGGGTTAGATGCTGGCAGAGCAGCGGAGTGATAAAATCGCAGCCGTTTTGATCTGTTAAATCCTCTGGGAATGACCTTGGAATCCTGTGATGGAAAGGTTCGGGGGGGGAGGCAGTGCTTTGACCTGCTGTGCCCCCTCTGTGTGCACAGGAGAAGGTGCGCGTGTCAAGGGGGTTTAGCACCAGTTCAGAGATAACACCGTTCTTAGCAGCTGTCAAGTGCGAGATGAGCCGAGAGGTTCGCTGTGGTGAACTGTCAAAATCCTTTTCTTAGCGCCTGCATAACACAGAGGAGGAGGAATGCGAATCATACAATGGGTGTACACAACCACAAAAGAGAGAAATAAAACTCCACTTCATAATTAAAGTAATGTTTCAGCTAACACTCGTCACCGGAAATTTGTCCCATTTGTTTGATCTGTATTGCCACATGGCATGTAGTACTTTGTTTTACGTCGAGGGGATTTAACTTTTTGCCCGTCGGCCTGTTTGCACTTTACTGAGGGAAGCAGAATATGCGTCTGTCTGAGTCTGTTTATCTATCTGACTGTTTAATTCCTCTGTAATCAACACATATTTGAAATTGGAAGTCAGTGTAGTGCAGTGGCAGAATGAACTGCAGTTTATGTCACTACATTTTCCTCAGTGCAGATGTAACAGGACAGAAATGTTTTTTTTTGTCTGACATACACTATATATTAGATTTCGAAGGCATTTCTTTATTATTCTTCTTTATCTCTCAGCGTAGTTCCTCCCCAGATACTTAGTGATACTATTACAGTTCCTCACATCCACCAGATGATACACGTATTGTGTTTGGAACAACTGTAATCCACAAAGTATTTGCAACAATGTTTTATAAATAACCCTGAGTCCCTCCTCTGTTGTGTGTGACTATGAGAGAGACTGTGTATGGTTATGAACGGGAAACACTCCAGTGGACGAGATTGTGGAAAATAACGCACTCTATTGGTTGTTTAGTTGGTGTGTGACATCAGTCTGTGTGTATGTGGACCCTGGGCGTTCCCCCCGAGGATGACTACTTTAGCGGCAGGCCCTGCCCCGGGTGGCAGCAGAAAGCAACACGGAGCAACAGATGCTGCAGGGGAGAACTTCCACACTAGAGAAGTTTCCAGTAAGAGGTGAAGATAGGAAAAGGAGCAGATAAGAAAATCTGTTTTTACTTTTCCTCGTGCTCATCGTGAGATCGCTGCCAAAAGAAACAAGGTAATCGCTCAATTGTTGTAATTTTTCACAGTTTGTCTTTTTTTTTTTTTTGCAACCAGGAATAAAAACGTGTTAAAACGGATTTAATCAAATGTAAAAACATGGACTTTACATGCATCAGCAAGTTTGTGCATCAGCTTCTAGCCTGATATTGTGTTTATTTCTATTTGTGGTTTGTGTGTTATGTCCTGTGTTATGAGGGGATGTTATGGCCCCATTCTCCGTTGAGTGATGGCAACGTTGAACGGACATAACAGAGACAGCACCAACAGCAAACATGTGCCCCTGACACACACACTTTTAAATACCTGCTTTGTTCGTACCCATATTTCAGCCTGCACTCTAACAGCTATAACTATAATATTCCTTCTTTATTTCCACTTCTGCTCCCTTTCAGGTCTTGGATCAGTGTCCAAAAAGAAGCTACACCTCCTCCCAAGCCTCACATCTGCAACCTTCCTCCTTGTCTCCTTCTGTTGTCCTTCCTCCTCTCAGCAGCAGATCCCTTTGCTACTCTGCCGGTCTCGTTCCATTTTCTCCGTCCCAGATAACGCGATGGATCGCTCGACGCAGGAGCTGTTCCTCAACTTCATGATCGTCTTAATCACCGTGCTGCTGATGTGGCTGCTAGTGAAAACTTACCAGGAACACTAAACTATGAAGCAACAAGAGAGGAGATGAAGGAGAGGCGGAGGGGGTGGAGAGGGAAGCCAGCATGGTTTGCTGTAAGACTTTGCTGCTGATTGAATTTTTGTCCAGACACAGTGTTTACAACATTTCATTCATTTAGTCTACGGTCACAGGTTTGATCCAGTATTCATATGAAGTCAGATACCAATGCTGAAGCCGTGGCAGGCTGGTCTTGGATCCAAGTTCTGAGTTTTTTTTTAATGTGGCCCTGAATTTCTGACACAAGGCAAAGAGGTAGAGCTGAGAGGGACAATAAAAGTAAATAAAAGGTGGTTGAATTTTCAGGTTTTCACTGTGGAAACCCTAAAAGCGAGGGAACACTGCAATGTGATTGCGTCATTCGTGTGACTTTTGACTTCTGTTTTCATAAAGTGATGCATGTGACAAACCCACAAATTGTTTTTACTCATCAAAGAAGACATCAGCACAAATAAGGAAGCATCGTGTTTATGTTCACTTCTTGCCATTAAACAGTCTTTCAGTCATTGGATTTGTTTTCTGTCTCATAACACAAACTTGAATGATTTACACTGCAAAGCCCATATTTTCCTCTGTGTGGTTTCTTACACTTGATGTTCATGTACTCTTTGAAGTTACAGAGTGTCACAGAGTTGACAACTGCAGATAAAGTTGCACTTTTTTCAAATAAACAAATGTGGGATTGTGTGCAACATGAGAGGAGAAGCAGGCATGCATGGACACATGACATTAGTAAGATAATAAAGGCAAGCTGTTTAAAGTGAATATTGACATGACTTTTTTTTGTAGTTTAGTTTTAAATAGCGCTTGGACTATAAATTAGCAGCTCTCCTTCAGCTAGGAAGAGATGACTTGTTAAAAAAAAAAACTAATATTTTTCTGAACATTTTACAAATTAATGTGTATTTTTTAAAAACTGTACTGTGGAATGAAGTTTATTTTTAGAAGAAAGAACTTTAAACCAAACAATTTCTAACATACTGGTAGTGTGTTAGCATATTTTGTGTTCAGAAGGCTGCAAAATTTGAGAATTACTGAAAAGTAAAGATCAAAAGTGGTACATAATGACATTTCTTTACATTTTAGCTGGAGGAAAGCTAAAAATTTATAGCATGTGCATTTTTTGGAATGGATTCTCTAACATAAACATATTAATTAGACAAAAAAGGTACTAAAATAGGACTTCTAAAATAGTATTCTGTTTAATATGGTTCCTCCATGGGAGGGACCACATTTAGATCAACACAACAAACATCCTATAACAGCAGGTGTGTCACGCATACAATTTTAATGATGAATTTTACGTTAAATAAAAAAATAAATTATTCGCCTTAGGTGCTCTCATGTTATAATGGTCTGTGAGAGGAGATGTGGTGTTAGTTGGACTGATTGTCACTCTCTCTTGACATGGTAGCCGTCCGTCATGCACACGATTGAAAGCCAGAGAGTTGATTCATGCACAGTGCGCCACACATCCACTCATATGTTTGCTGCATGCATGTGTGTGTATGTGTGTGTGTGCATCTTTGTATCACTGCTGCGCGTCAGCCCACGGGTCTCTGTATCTGTTGAAGCTAATGAGCTGGCAGTGGAACTCGGTGAGTGCTCTGGGCATCGGTGCCACTTCTTCCCATTGGCTCTTCCCACTGTAGTACACCTGCACAGGTAGCAAAGAAATACACAGACAGTATTGATGATTCGTGGGGAAAAACACCTCTATGACCCTTCTTTCCCCAAAGAATAAAGCGAGATGAGCACACGCATGTTGGCTAATAAATGACGTTAACTAGTTACTGTAACTTAGGTTGGGAAACAGGGTCAAGCCTCACCCACATCTCTCATCACCTTTTAAGAATGCTCATTCTCGGATAAGCCATCTTCTTTTCTTGTCTCAGTTTTCTTTGACTCACCCACTTGCACCCTAAATCCATTTACACAATGTCTCATCACTGCCTGTGTCAATCCATATTTACACCTATTTATGTTCCCTCAAGCCCAAGCATGCCAAACCCATTGTTACCTTCTCCAGGCTTAAAGTAGGCTTGGGTGACATAATTCCTGTGATGGGTGCCCCCTGCTTAGCCCTATAATCCTTCAGTCTCACTTACATCTGTCCAAAATCAGTCTCCTTTCCCATACATCCTCCTCATTCCCCGATCCTGTTCCCACCCTTACAGCAACGGTGATACACTAGCTATTAACAACATACAGTATTTTGTACACACATGCTCTATTTTTGGCATACAGCGTTGTGCAAAAGGTTTAGGTACTTTAGATATCTACAGTCTTAACCATTTAGGGGATTTATCTGGTTGGTCTCAAACTGAACAACAACCCCCAAACATTATGTCATTAGAAAACATTGGATTTCAGATTTAGTTGCAAAACTGTGATTTAGAGCACCTGCTTAGTGAACAAAAATGAAATTGGGGCAGAATGAATTTTCCCTCCTACCTGAACTTCATCAGTAATCTCATCAGGTGAGTAGTCGCCACCCAGAATGTAGATTCTATCTCTCATTCCCACTGCTCCAGCATTGAAGCCAGCACATTCAAATGAGCCTTCACCCTTCCACACACAGGTCTCTGGACAAAAACTGTAAACCTGAAAAGAAAAGAAACATTAACATCTGTGATTTATACAGTCCTGTACATGCAAACATACACTACATTGTCATTTTAATACTTTCCGTCTGCTGCTCGTTTATCACTCCCCATATGCTCACCTTATAAGTGGACAGGTCACAGAGGTGCAGCGTATTGTTAATTGACACAGCCTTGACTAGTGTAGCATGGAAGAACTGGCCAAACTCGGCTACCAGGCGGCTCCACTGGTCCTGCTGGGCATCATAGCAGAAGAAGCAGTCGAGCGAGGGGTTAAAGGAGTCTGTGATTTCCACCTCTGATCCCAGCGTATAGATAACACTGCCACAAGCACTGGCCTCAGGGTAGAAGATGGCAGTGGGCAGCGGGCTGACAGAGCTCCAGGTCTGGGTCAGGGGGTTGTAGTACTCCACCTAGTGTACAGGAAAGAAAACAACTGGGTTTGTCCTGGATAAAAAAAAAAACAACTACACCCTCTCTTATTCCTTATTTATTGACCTACTAATGAAAGGATATTGTAAATAAAGAAAACACTCTTACCTCTAGCAGACTGGGAGGCCCTCCTCTGGATCCTTTGGTCCGTCCCCCAATGACGTACACTCGGTCCAGGCAGGTCACAGCCGTGTGCATGGTTCTGGGCTTCAGCATGGCCGGTGCAGGTGTGCAGGTCAAAGTCACAGGACAGAAGCACCAAACCTCATCGGTGGCATCGTGGAACGGTTCGGCCACGTGGAGACGTATCGCCCGGCAACAGTTACCCCGACAACCACCTGTGACAAACATCTTAAAGGCGGCAGACGATAGAAAAGATGGTGAATGATTAAAAATAAGAGAGGGACTGAAACATACATGTACAATTAGATTTATCTGGATCAAAATCTATCTCTAGCAACAAATGAGACAACATGATTTCAAAGAAAAACTGTGGTAGGTTGTCAAAAATACCTTGAACAACATTTTTTTTCTTTTTCCTTTTTTTTTCAGTTTACTGGACTTGGTAAGAAGAAAAAAAAAAGAAAAAAAATTGCGACATTCAAAAGAATACCTGCCATTTTTTGCCTGAATGGTTTTTGCAAAACATTGTATTAAATTCAATTCCACCTCTGTAAATAAGCTCAGGCTCCATTTGTTTATCCTATGATATAACCCGATACGTGCAGGAAATTCTCTGACAAAGAACAATCTGCATTATTAAACTGTGGCTCCTATTTTTACTCATGTTCTTCATAAATCTGAGGAGTGAAATCCTGATGATGATTAAATAAAGAAAAAGTTCAGAGCTCATGTACATAAAAAAGTGTGTTCACTCTCTCTAACTTCACTCTAACTGTTCGTTTTTTCCAACAAAAAAAATGCATAATTTTACTTAAAACATTCACTATTTGGTGGACCTGCTCACAACAACACTGAGGTTATAATTTGTGATAATTTAGTCACCAGTTTAAATTCCTTAACCCTCCTATTACTTTCAAATTTACTGACATCTTTTATCTTTGGGTTCAGTTTCACCCCAGCAATTTAAACCTCCAGAAAATATCATGATTAAAATTTTTACCCAAGTTCATGTGTTAATAGCCCTTTAAATAAAACTGAAAAAAATATGTCAATGACTTATTTAAAGATGTTCAACATTGAATGGGGTGAAATTGACCCCAAAGATCATAGGAGAACTTTGAAGAGTCACAAAATGGTGTAGCAAGCTGCAGATCTACCCCAATATGTACCTTCTCAGCATAGCTGGTAAGGTAAGAGCCTGGTTGGTCTGGCATCGTGGTCGTCTCCTCTACTTGTCCTGTTCCCAGCTCTTTCCACTGGTCTGTTTCCAGACAGTAGCAGAATGTGTGCCGGATCTCGCCGTTCTCCTCCGTCTTGTGGATGTAGATGTAGCTCTGTGTGGTGGCGGGCCTGGCATCAGTGAGCAGGCCACTGTACTGAGTCTGTCTGCTCTGGGCTTCTGACAGCAGGGCGAGACAGGACTCATCATCACAGAGGAGAGAGTCTGAATCACGCAGAGTCTAAGAGAGAAATTAACAAAGATGAGATAATCACAAACTGCATAACATCCTAAATCCAATATTTACAGTGAGTTTATACCTTTAGAGCAGGTGTAGGGAGATGGTGCAGTCGGGTCAGAGACAACAATCCTGGTAGCTGCTTCTGTCTTTCTGTGAGATTGTGGCGAGTCCATCTCAGAAGTGACATCACCACTGCCTCCTCACTGCTCACGTTCAGAGCGTCCGACCTGAGGCAGGCCTCCAAGATATTCACCTGAAAGGAGCAAAGGAAATGGTAAAAACTGAGTGAGCGCTCACAGCAGGTCAGTCTGAAAGTGAGTGAAGTGCCTGTCAGGTAAGAAATTACATGACAGGAGCCTTTTGTTAGAGCTCCAGGGCCAGATTTAATGACCACTTTAATATGGATTCAATGTTTATACTGCACCATGTACAACGGAATAATTAGCCTAACAGGGCCTTAACTCCATCAAGGTTCCCGTACTTCTTTGGACATCAAATTCACTGACTGTTAAGCAGTTTACATGTAAAGTCTGAGTCTTGAACTTAATGGACTGAAAATCATTGTTTCTAATTGTTACACACAGATGGGGTCTGATTCTTATCTGTATATGGATCTGAATCATTATGTAATGCCTTTTCCTCAGGGGAACAGTTGCTCAGGCTAACAGAGGTCAAGAGAGCTGAGTCATGTTAACAAATATAGCGATTACATTCTCTTAAAATTGTCCCATGAGACACATACATCACATATTATGAATCAGCAACAGTTTAGTCACAATTTAGTGGGTTTAGAAGCTTTCATAGTACTGAAAATGAGCAAACTCTAACTCGTTGCTCAGGGAGACAGAATACAAACAACTGACAAAAGGCACAACGCAGATTTTGACAATCTCATTCAATGTTTAGAAGATACCCTGTATGTATGTAAAGTATTACCTGCATGTCCAAGAAGTCCTGGCTTTCGGAAAGGTCAGAAAAGTTCTGAACCACAAACTCATTGGCACTATGAAGGAGGGTGGATGAGCCATACGCCTCTGCCAGGGACAACAGAGACAGGCAGTTACAGAGATCCATGGTCCGTATTAAGAAGTCACTGCAGGCTCTGGACAGGACTGTCACCTGAAGATATGGAAACAAAAATAGGGAAAATATTCACGTTAAAAGGGTTAAACACTATTTCAGAGCTCAGAGAAACATATATTATAAAGAAACTGTGTAGTCAATAACTGTCCTAAAATGACTTTTATTCTGCTTGTTAGTTGAATAAAGTCCCTGTACACTCACATCAGTGTTTTGAGGAGATGATAAGCTGGGAATTACATAAGGTTCACGTATCCATAAGAATAATAAGTGAAAATTTGCCCCAAGTTAACAGATGCCACAAAACTAATAAGGCAGTGAGGGAAAGACAAGTTAAACACAGTCGGTACACGGTCACGTTGTCAAAATGATTGAAGATGCTGGTGTGGGAGTACCGTAAGTGTACAGCAGACATTTTGACTTGTAAGGTAATAACATTAATGATTCTCTGTAATGGAAGTGTTCCAGTAAACCACGACAGTGTGACAGTGAGGGAAAATGGAATGTCAGAACCCTGAAAATGAAGCCGCTAAATGGAATTCAGTCATCATTCATTATATTATTTACACGTTCCAGTCCTTCTGCGACAAAATGTGAAGTTGACGCACTGTTTATGGTAGAAATGTAGCAAACACAAAGTGAGATTCCATGTGTGTTTAGATGAAAATCAAATTGTTGGTTGATTTTTTTTGTTTGTTTGTTAGTTTTTTTTTTTGTTTTTTTTTTACCTTATTCATATTGTGTGTGTTTTTTAATATGCTAGAAGACACATCATGGCTGAAAAAAAAGAAATCAGAACCATGACTCAGCATTTTCACATTAAAACCGCAGTGTACTAATGGCAATCTCATCCAGCATTTTGAATGTAACAGTCTCAAGGAACCAACCCTGCAGCCCCCCACAAGTTACAAGGTGGGGCTTCAATATTCTTCTTCAGAATTGCTTTCCAGTTCAACCATGTATGACTGAAATACTCCAATATTACAATTTGCTATTGTGTAGCATAAAATAATTTTACAGTGTTTGAGCAAAGTCAGTCATCTAAGACATTTTAGGGCATGAAAGAATTATATTTCATTGAGAAAACTTACAACTTTTAAATTTTGATACACACAGACAACTTTTTAGGGTTTAATTGATGCCTGAAGAAGGACTTTAAGAAAAAGAAGTGGGATGCAATGGTGTCATTTCTACCTGCAAAAAAGAGGCAAGCTGGAACAACATGTCAACGTTGCCGTCAGTGATGAGCATCTCCCCAGAATAGGCAAAATCCAGGAAAGAAGCCACTGCCACTTGACACTGGTTACCGAGTGTGACTGACCCATCATCACGCTCTCGCATATCCACCTCGAACATGGCCCTAAACACAGAGCAGTCACACATTAAATTAACAGATTAATTGCAAAGTTAGATAGATAGATAGATAGATAGATAGATAGATAGATAGATAGATAGATAGATAGATAGATAGATAGATAGATAGATAGATAGATACCTGAAGAAATCACTGCATGCTGCAAGAACACAGCGATGACAGGGAAAGCTGTGATCCTGCACTTTAATAGTGAAGTCAAACAGCATGCCTCGCTCCCTGAGAGATCTGAGCACGCCCAGGAGCTGCAGTCCATGGGTCTCAGACACCCGCAGCAGCGTCCGCCGCTCTGGGACCCCATTGCATGGTGGGGCGCTGCCAGGTTTGCTACAGGGAGGGCTGCTGCTGCCGGGGCCATGGGCGTTGGTCAAACAGGAGGACGTCTCTTGATGCTCATCCATGTTGCCCAAATCTGACACAATTACAAAAAATTAAGAACTTGTAATGCAACTTGTGATAATGTAGTGACATGATATCTGATATTATGCTACCATGTGTGAGAGACACACAAACACAGACTAGTGACAAGAAAATAGACTGTATTACAGAATTCTACTTACTTTCACATTTCTATACCACAGTCCAGTCAATCTTTACCATGCAAGCATATTAGTGCATATATCACATTCAGTGAGCTAACAGAATTATTCACTTAAAAATAAACACACAACACACTATCTTACACAATATCTTGATGTTGAAAGTACAGACAAATGAGTAGAACACATGTAAAATACATGGGTAGGTGGTCTGAAGCAGGACAAGCACTACTCACAGTGTCAGCACCTCGGACAGCTCTGTCTCTCTCTCATGCCGTTCCAACTTCCGCAAGCGTGAAATCACGCGAGGACTCGGACAGCTGCGTGTTTTTTTGTAGTTACACTTGTTGTTGCCAACATCGTGCTCGCTGTAATTGGAATTTTATTGGTAGCACCAATACGTTTCTGTTTTATAAACCCCTCGAGCAGTGTGCGTATGTGCAGCTCTTTGTTTGCGGTAGAAGGAGGCGCAATGGCAGCTGGGAAGTGTAGTCCTCTGTCATTGGTCGGCGAGAGGTCGATGAGTTCATGCCTTTTTGTGTGGCAGTCTACTAAGTTTAATGTTTTACGATCAACACGGGTTCACAAATGATATGGGCTGAAATAGCTTGATTATTGAGCCTTCTGTGTTTGCTAGCTGCAGCTGCTGATGTTTGCTGGCTCTGCATATAGCCATATTTGTTGGAATTCCTTTATTTATCCAGGGGTGCCTGGAGTGGTACCTGATATACACATATTCAGCAATCATGCCATTAGATGCTTATTTAAAAAATACTAAAAAAATATAACTAAAAGTGAAATGAAATGATATAGATACTCACTGGACTTAATTATAATGAAATGTGCACTTGATATGTTGATCTCCTCGTGTTTCTTATGGAGAAAAACTGAAAGGATAAACGGAAATAAAATATTTTTAATGATCACAGAAAAATATGCCTTATAACAGTGAAATCACAGACAATTCCTCTTTCCATATGTGTGTCTGCATGACAGTGACAGAAGCTGAGACAGATGAGTATTTGTGAATTTTTTTTTTTGAGAAAGTGACCCAATAACATATCACCTTTTAACACATCTAGACTCCTTAACAGCTTAAAGGGTATAAATGTGTGTGGAATTCTTCCCTGAAATTGAAGCCACACTCTTTTTTTTTTTCATCTGTGAGCAATAAATGAGGAATTTAAATCATGAACAAAGCATTTTTAAGTACAATCAAATTGTTCCATCTTCATTTTTGAGTGGAACTTTCATGTTAATGCAAAATCCATTATTGTGAGCTCTGCATATTGTCCACATGTACTCCAGCATCAAGGTCTCTGAGTTTATGTGTATGCGTGTCTTCATGTCTGACTTTAGTAACTGAATTACAAAGGGGTAAAAAATAAATAAATAAATAAAAATTGAGAGAGAGAGCGGGGAAAATCTGAATCAGACACATGCAGACACATAGAGTTGCTTTGTTGAATTGCACTAGGGTGAGTCTGTGAGCTGTGCAAGCATGGCTGCAGGCCTTGTGCGTCGCGTTGGTGCAGTGGAATATTTCACCACTGGATGGCGCTGCCTTCTTTTGGAGAAAACAAAACTGTGGTTATGCATGAGGGAAGAATCTGAACTGGTGAACGTGAACTTGCTCCAACTGTGCTGCAGTACCTTTTCACCACCAGAGTGCTGCTGCTGCTGCTGACCAAATAACACACTTTCCTTCCTGAAAACGATGATTACAAAGATGCACAACAGCTTTGGTAGATCTATAACAGTACTACAGCGCTGCGCTAACCCCCCCAACAACAACAGCAATATTAATCATAATGAAGAATAAAGACTAGATGTAGCAACACGATGAAATCTATTTGCTTGTCAAGACAACAAAATAACAAAAACATGGACTCAGTCATGGATAAAGTGCAAACACTGAAAGAACAAAGAACTAACAATGTGATCACACAAAGTACACTCTGCTCTTTCATCTACATCAGTACACAAAGCCTATAATAGTCGATTTACTGACCGTTAATGCTCAATTATTGATGAATGACGTGTAAAATCAGAGAAAATGAGCCATACAAACAAAGGCCATTCCTTCACTCATGTACTGTATTTCTATTGGTTGTGAGCCCTAAGTACATTCATATACGTTTTTTACTAGGCTATTATTAGAGCCTCACTTCATGTATATCGGTGGGTCGGACCCCCTCCTCTCTCCTTGCATCCCTGCATCCCTCCCTCCCTCTCTCCCTCCCGGCAGTGCATCCCCATCCCCCACACGGTGGCCGTCTCTTCGGGTGAAAGCTGTCTTCCCAGCGCCACTGGCCCGACAAAACGCTGCTGTAGCAGAGCCAGTCCGCACCGACCCGAGGCAGAGCACACACACGGGAGAGAGCACGTACGCACACGGGAAATCTTTTTTTGTTCGACCGAGTGGCTTTGGTAAGTCTCGTACGCTGTTCATTATGGAGGGCAGGAATGTCCATGTGTCGACTTGCAAGTTGTTCGTTTTTTTTCTGTCTTTTTTTTTCTCCTCCGTATCCCTTCAATTGTCCTCCGTGGTGGCTACAGTGGGGAACTAGCGGGCTAAGCTAAACGGCTAGCTCAAATAGCGGAATCAAACTGATACTACTCAATGCTTCGGTGAGGTTTTTAACTTTTTGTTGTTTGCGGCCGGGCGGTAAAATTGGCGAGTGTTTTGCCAGTGCGGTCCGGTCTGACCTACCGTGAGCGGTTTTCATTGTCATTTGCTAATCTTGCCCCAGCTAGCTCGCTAATTAGCGATTTGGGCAGCGTGTGCCGAGGGATGCAGGGATGCTACGGCGGTTTAGCGGTTGTCTTTTCAAGCTAGCTTGCAAGCTAAGCTAACGTTAGTATTATGTGACCCGCACAGATTCCTGCATGGAGAGTTTTGGAATGACTGAATCGCCATGCTAACGGTAGCTAATCTGATGATAATTGGCAAGATGGCATCTCGGAGTTGTTATCTAGAAATCGGTGGATTTTCAAAATGGTGTCTTAAGCTTGTTTGAGTGTGACCATTTTTGTCCAACCATCGCTGTTTTGGCGTTGCTTGCTATCTCTGGTATGCAGTGCACTGCCAGTGCATGCCATACTTTGAGTGATATAACTACATATTAACCACTGATGTGGTGGTAAATACAAATGCCGGCAAACTAGGCTGTGTCCTCAAGGCTGTAACCACCGTTCTGAGAAAAACAAATGTGTTTTGGAGTGGAACTTGTTTTTTTTTTTTAACAGAGTTTTGTACTGCATCTGTGCTGTGTTTGATTAAAGGGCTGAAATATCGTTTATTCTGCTCACGGTAATGTTTGCAAACTGAATTTAGTTGATTAACTACTCATTTCTCGGTTCAAAACAAAGATGCAGTTTCTGAAAAGGTTCAGTTACACGAGGTCTTCATTTACGGTTTACAGAGATTTACAGTGCTATGATTACTGTTACTAGAGCTGTAACCAAAGACTTTTCATTACTGATTAATCCAATAAAAATTATAGATTAATCTTTTAGTGTTGTAGTCTACAGAGTGTAATCATTTCGTAAAAATGCGGACCCCCAGTTCACAGAACTGAAAGTAATAATTTCACATGACATGCTTTGTTTGTCCCTAATGCAAAGCCATTGAGTTTACAGTGAAATGAAACTAAAAAGTGGCAAATCTTCACATTTCTGAAGCTAAAAATAGCAAATGTTGGGCATTTTTGATTGATAAACAAATTTGTTGTCAAAATTGGTTTTAATTAATTTCCTGCTGATCTATAATTTATCATTTCTGCATTAGCGGACATGTGGCACCATAACAGGAGATCCAGTTTCTGAACGTTCACAGGACAAGATGTAGCCTCAAACAGTGCCAAAGAGATTACACTAAATGCCAAAGTTGTATTTTTCGTCTTCTCTCCTATGACTAGTCTTATCAGTGAAATGAATCCTCTTTACCATCATCTCTTTTTTGGAAGGGATTACTTGCTTTAGTCACTGACTACTAATCCCATTTAATTCAAGAGGCCTTATCAGTGTAAAGGGATTTCTGAGATACTACTGTTCTTGGCCCTCACCAGAGCAACACAATGTAAGTAAACTATGTAGAGTTCAAATATCGTTGAGCTGAGACCTGAAGAAGCACGCTGCCCCATGTACATTAGACGTTCAGTGATGTAATGTGATTTTTAAGGTATGCTAATATAAGTTACTTCTTTTTTACTGTTTGTGATTTTAACACCTACGTATATTTCCCTTCATGTGGGCTGGAAAAAAATAAGTCTTACTGACTGTACCCAGTAAACAAACAAAGCAGTCTTTATTAAAGGCTGTGTGTAATCTATTTTAGACTCTAGTGAAATCAAGAGGCGTTGGGAAGAACTGCATTCACCAGATTAAGGTATACTAAATGCATGGACAATGGTCCACTCAGAAATTACAGTACATTGCAGGCATTTTATGTAAATCTATGTATTTTAAGGGAATAAGAACCAGAGGTTGTTTTTTTTGTTTGTTTTTTTATTTTTAAGCAAGTAATGCTGAAATTAGCCAAACATCAATCAACATGCTTGATGAATTTGCCAGTTTAATTTAATCTTCAGTCTAAGGTGACCTCTGTCTGCCATGCTGGAGAAGGGGGTGGGTGGCATGTGGGTTTTGGCATGTGTTGAGCTCAGACTCGTGTGTGAATGGTGGGCTGTACAGTACTGCCATAAAACCGTCAAACTATTGAATGCTGGAGTCACTTAATGTTACAGCAGTCAGTGGTTTTATAACAGACTGTTGTCTTTTCAGCACTTCATTCCCGTGTGGTTTAGTCCACTTAATGATTTGCTCATCACAGGTCAGTGAATGAAACGCTTACAGACGGTAGCTTTCAGATTCACCTTCCTCTGGTGTGTCTTGTCCAGCCCAAGGTCCCTCAATTTGATTTTTAAAAAATATATATATTTATAGAGGCTAGCAGATGTGATCATTTGCATGGTTTGACAGACTACAATGTACTTAACAATGTTGCTATGTTTAATGATTATTGTCATAGATCTCTGCATTCATTTCCATTCAGTTTGATTTATCCATTTTCTTTAATTGATGATTTAATCAGTAACTCATCAGAACATTTTACTAATTGCCTGTCACTGTTTTCCACAGCCCATGGTGAAGTGCTCAAATCACTTTTTTTGTCGAAGCAATAGTCTAAAGCCCATCGATTTTTAATGTACGATAAATAAAACAAAGATAAGAAGCAAATCCCCACACTGGGATAGAGGGGACTAGTGAATATCTGGATTCTTTGCTTGACAAACAACTTAGTTATTACAGGATTATCAGAATCATTGTAGATTAATTTTCTGCTCATCAGCCATCAGTTAATTCACAAAGCATTTTAACTGTTTTTAAAATCCACTTTAAATATAGCAAAGGTTAAAGTTTCATGGAATCCACAAAAATTTGTGAATCTCACCATAACTCTTAGCTATTAGGCATCCAATAGTGTGTTTTTTGTGGTAATAATTGTAGGTATGCTCTATCTCAAAGAATTCAATGGAAATAATATGTACTGCCGAGAGTTTAAAATAACCTACAAACCCTGCTTTGGTTTGGGATAAGATTTAGCTAACGTACACCACTATCCCCTAAAGTCAAATGTGGAGGAACACCTTACTGCTTACATTTTTGCTGAAGTTCTGTTTGATGCTAATGTACTGTTCATATCCATCTGTGTTTTGGAGTGCAATCAACACTGAAGGGCCAGTGTGTTGTTGTGGGAGACATTTTCTGGGCCCCGTTATTAAGCGATGCTGGTAATGTTTGTCATGCTGCACCTCTCTTCATTTTAATTAGATCAGTAAATACTCCCGTTCACTAGGGGTGAAATGGTACACAAACATCACAGTTTGGTATGTACCTCAGTTTTGGAGTCACGGTTCAGTGCATGTTTAATTCATCAGGCAAGATAAATGCATAAATTACATTTATGTCACATATATATATATATTTTAAATCCAATAATGTCTCATTGGCCACATTTCTTTCAGTAATAGTTAAAGTGCATAGTGCTGCATACTTTCAATAAGAAAAGACTGTATATTTACTCTGTCTGTCTCTAAGTGTAGCCCTGTGATAGACTGGTGACCTGTCCAGGGTGTCC